GTTTTCTCCTATTTTTTTTTTTAAAAAGTACTGCTATTCACAAGAGTGGATACTCAGCGCTGCTTTTGCAAAGGAACACATTGCACAAGAGACCGAAAGGTGAGAAGAATATGGATTAAACTAGAAGATGAAAAGACAAGGACGTATTATAGTCTCGTTCATTTCATCTTATTTTATTTGCTGAATGGGTCACTCTATATAAACACAATTGGTTGAACAACATTGAATAGAGAGACAGAGCGAAATGGTACAACTTCGCACCTTTTCATCCCCTTAAGAGGTTAACGAGTTTACTTTGATTTACATAAATTGCTACAGTTGAACTGTCTTCTACAACATTTCTAGAATGTGTTGAAAAAACACTTAACATAGTATTACCAAGCTAGATACTTTCCACTATAATAATGTATAGGTTACATTTTGAAAAGAAATGGTTTTACTTACATTTAAATAACGAAAGAAGAAAAGTACTCAGTAGAATTTGGACAATACTTTCAGGGTTATCACAGGACAATTTGATGGTATGGTATCCGGTTTAACTAACTGTAAGCCATTGTTACGCTATCTGTCTGTGGTCTACCACAATGTTAACAACTGGAATAAACAGAATATAAACATAGAGATCTTTAATTATAACGAGCGACCGAAAACTATAGGGCTACCACCACAATAACAAAATTGTATTTTGACAGACTTTTAATAATAATAATAATACTTTATTCAGTAATACAAGGTCATAGACCCATAGTACAGAATATAACATACATATATATATGTATATAATAAATATTATTATTCTGTTATTGAGTATATACATGTATATATCAATAGGTAATAACAAGATGGGGTGCCATTGGAGTTAATAACGAATAACAACTATACCTGTCTAGAACACAACGCCTCCTCTATATACAGTGCTATAGATATCAATAATGATCTATCTCTAACAGTGCATAACTTATATAGAAGATTTACATCATAATAATCTCTAATGCAGTCTGGTGGAAGGTATTTAACTCTTAAATCGGTCAGATTGTTACAAGTAAACATAAAATGGTATAAGTTTTCATTCCCTTCATAACATAAAGGACATATTTGGTTCTTAAGAATACCTCTTTTAAATAAATTTGCTGAGAGTGGTAACAGGTTTAAGCGTAATCGTGTGATATTACGCCTCAGCTTTATTCCCACATTACAAGATAAATAGTGCTCTTGTCTAAGCTCAAGTTTAAAATTGCTGTATTCAGTAAGACTATAATATCATGTGATATTAACTTAGCTGACCAATCTTGAATATCAATATCCTTAAGCCTTAATTTGACTGATTGTATAAATTTTCTTACATTACCAATACTTTCAGAGTAGAATATAAAACTAAAACCAAGTGAGAATAACATCATTCTCAAATGAGTAACCCATGTTTCCCGGCCCAAATTAAAATCTAGATTTTTTAACATTAGATACACCTGTTTTGGATAACGGTCTATATTCATATTGATTAAAGTGCACCAATATTTTATACAAGACAGTATGTAATAAACACTGAGGCTATGTCGTCCACATTCTCCTACTGCTCTAGCACTGGTGGAAGATTTATGTATACCTAACACAAACTTACAAAAGTTCGTATGAACACGTTCTATATCAGGTCTGTACTGAAATCCCCAAAGCTGTGAACCGTACAGTAGAACCGGCTTGATTATAGCATCAAATATTTTAAAGGATACCTTCGGATGAGGGTGACCTGTTTTTGCAATGAAAGACTTAATAGGAATAAGAGCTTTTTCGGCTTTAAGTGACAAATTCAGAAGACATTTACCCCAGTGCAACCTGGAAGAAAACAAGAGACCTAAGTAACTGTAATATGTGACACAATCAACCTTTGTCCCTTTAAAGTACCATCTTTCACTTTTCTTTATTATGCCCCCATTTCGGAAAACAATAATTTTTGTTTTATCAATATTTACAGACAGTTCAGAGTACTCACAAAAATTTTCTAAGACATTGATTTTCTTTTGAAGGTCACCAATTGTGTCAGCCACAAGACTTTTACTAAGTGCATGATGCACAAAGATCTTCAAGCGTTTTTTCAGAAGACGTTTCACCTGATCATGGTCCCACTTTAAACTTTAATTACTACCTTTAACGAATATAACATATAACAATGTGTTTTCCATATTATTTTCTCGTTTAGACAAAAGAAGTCAAGACAAGTTTAAACATTTTCAATTTCACAGCTCCCCTGAGCAACTTAAACGAGCAACATCCAATAATACACCTGGCAGTATGCCTCCCAATAGTTTGGACATTATTTCCACCGACTTGTGTCGTAATCCGCAAAGCAATTAGTCCCGAAATGACATAGATTGTGTCGAGTGGACGTTGATTCATACACTAGTTAAGAGTTTTATAAAGAGTTGGCCATTCTAGCTATAATAATTCAAAACTAGATGATAAAAAAAAGAAAATGTTGAAAATTTTAGTCAAATTACTTTGTTCTGAACGGAATTGACACTGTTGGAAGTTTGGACTAGAAATAGGCATCAATTGTGTCTGCAATGTCTATGAGAATTGGCGATCGTTTGATTGACAGACAATAACTCCACCCACATATTCTCGATTATCAAGTAACATGCTCAGTGCCTATGGTAGCTTCGCTTGGCAGGCCTTTTATCACCCGTTTCCGGTAATGACATCAGCGACTAACGGTAAACGTTAGCTTGGTCCGCCATTTATTGATTTAATTTTAAATGGACGACTGTTTAAATCCAAACTGTATCCAAGCCATCCGTGAGTTTACAGAGTCGATTTTGAGCTTGTCGTGTAAAGGTCTAATTAATAATTTCTATAACATCTGAAGCCTAAATAAAGACTTGCAATAGGCAGATTGAGCTCGTGCATAATGTATGTTTAACTCGTCAATGAATGAGTCATCTTTTCAGGGCTAAAATGTGTGTAACAGTTTGTCATTTACTGTTCAGGGAAGTTGTCGGTCAACACTTAGTAATACCTCAGTCATTTATCTCACCTACAACCCATAAGATAGTTTAAGCTTCTTTAATAGACTGATAATAAGGTTTCGTAAAGTAGCACCAGAAAATAATCAGAAATAAATTCTCATTTCTCTTCGCTCGGGCGTAGACTCTATATTGTCTCAGCTAAACCTCTATCTCAATGTTATCCACAATCTTCCAAATTCGAACACGAATTAGAATTTAATATTGATCCATTTGTAACACAATGAAGGTTGTCGGGTCTATTGGGGTTCCTTGCCTACATGTTGCCATGAGGTGAAACTTGGTATAATAACACTAAATTGCGAAATACAGAGCTAGAATAATGTCAATTACTTAAGACAGTTGCCTTCACGTGTTTGTGGGTTTTGTCTGAATTGGAGATAGATTTAAGCTAATTAGGTACAATGCAAATTCCCGGGGGTCAGTCTTTGACTCATGCACGTATCCTCTTTATAAGAAAGAGCGCGATTAAGGTTCCTTTAGATCACCATTCGGCGTTCCTAGCGAGACGTGCCATTAGACGCCTCGGCTTAAGGCCGAGATGGACAATAATTTAGGTTACTTTAGGCTATCATGTAGATCCTTATAAGACAGCGATGGCTCTTGCCAGCATGAACAGCCATGTGGAACTTAGACTCTAGATTACCCTTAAACTTATATTATGTTAAAAACTGAAGTTCACAACGTAAAGTAAACAACGTGAAGTCCAGAGTGAAGACACAGGATTGGGTCCCACAGCAGTGACACACGATAGCACACATTGCAATCAATATTGGTGTTGTTATCTTATCGTGAAATATGGGCTCTTGATATCCAATATTTTAGACACAATGCACAAATTAAAATCAGTTCTGGAATCGGATCCTCTCAGGTCTAAAGCGCCTCAAATTACTAAAATCGCGTCCTTAGTCCCTAGTCCAACTACCCAATTTTTGTATCTTATGCACGGCCCATGATATTGAACCTTGAAATAATGCTGCAGTAGTTGTATTCGTGGTGAAAAGACGTTTTTACCCGGTTTTGGTCGGTAACCAAATGTGTATATTTTGCAAAGATGACAAGGAATGCCCAAATAACGTACACGTTTTTCGGTGTTTGAGGTCCATTGCAAATCTATGTCATCTGGGCAATTCTATCTCTTACAGATTCCATTATACTAGTAATTATGTATCCAGCTCCAGATGTCGAGAAATAATCTACTAACTCAGTATATAGAAATTAAATTTCAATAGATTATCTTTAGAGCTCTATTACGGGACTAACATACTGTACCGCTTTTTTTTTGCGATATGCTTCTTTATCAGTTGGGGGAAACCTGGCCCTTTGGATCGAAACCACGCCATTTGACTCATTGAAAGACCTGATGATCAAAAGCGGACGAGTTAGACCTCCAACACCATAAAGCAACTCTTTTATAGAATACATATAACAAAACAATAACATGTATTTGCTGTTTATACAACTCTGAGTGAACATTTCTAGAGAGATTATTTTTCGATGTATTTAATGAAGGGCGTCGTGCAGAAGCAAACCATGTTTACCCTTTCAGGGTAGGTATAGATATATTGTTATGTTTATGGGAAGATTTGATGTACATGATGCACATTATCCCATCTGGATTAATAAACAATAATGATATTCCCACGCCAAATTAAAAAGGCGCATAAGAAAATTCAAAGGCTGCACATTAGGAAACTTCGCCTATTTCTTTATTTGAGCAATTAACTATATAGATAAAGAAAATTCGGGAGTTTCAAAACAAATAAAATGTCTGAAAATTGAATTTGCAAGAAAATGAATAGATAGGGTGCGGTTGGGTCATCAAATGTGTCGTTTGGTTTTATTTCTCCTAATGTTGGTTGTCTTGGCTACATTTGCCATGATACGTGTTCAGAATTACTCATTACCTTAGAACAGCTTCGTACGTATATATCACACGTCTAAAAATAGGGGAAAGCGCGCCATGTAACAGAGTATAGACTCGTCTCCTCGATTTCTTGCGCAAACAAGGAGCGTTTGTCAAGCGAAACGACCAATCGAAATAATAGGATCATTTCAATGAGTGTAGTCTTTTCTTTTTTATTGGATCTATGGTGAAAAGAACATCCCATGTGACATGATCGAATGGGTGCATACATATAAGAAAACACGTTGTGGTCTAGCCAATTGAAAGCGCCTGCGTTACACAGGGATTATCAGATAATAACTACACGAAGTGTACCGAGTGAACAAGGAATCGATATCAGAAGATCTGATACCAATATCATATTCCGTTCTTCGTTGTTCTTGTAAGGATTATATTTTTTAAAGATATTTGGTAAGAATAATTTGACAATTTTCTTTAAATAATTCTAAACTGAGAACGTATTTAAGAAGTTTTCAAATTTAATTTTACAGTAATTTTTAGAAAACCATGAAAGCATGTTCCTTTCTACTATTGTTCTTATTATGTGTATTCATGCAGAATATTACGATTTTGTGGCAATTTTATACTATATTTGGGCTGAAAGACAGAATTTCGGGAAGTTTTTGTGATAATAATCTATTTACGATATTTTGTCTTCCTTTTGTCTCTTTTTATTTCGTTGTTTATCGCATAAACCAGTGATAAAAAAATGGGTGATTTAAGAGAAACCGCATGAGTGCCAAAAATCGACCACGTAATTCCTTATACAAAAGTACAAGATTTAAGGAAATTGAATGCAATATTCGTCAATATTGCCCCGACTGGGTGATTTAAGAGAAACCGCATGAGTGCCAAAAATCGACCACGTAATTCCTTATACAAAAGTACAAGATTTAAGGAAATTGAATGCAATATTCGTCAATATTGCCCCGACTGTGTTGAACGATATGTACAAAATGGCACTAAAAATTAAAACTATATTATTAACGAAAATGCATGCTGGAAATATTTACGGAAATTGTAAACAAGAAGACAGTACAAAGTCTTAAAATGAATACAAAATGGTGAAAAAATATCATACAAAAAATGATCGGGGTTAAAGCGGAGATGCGGAGATTTTACTTTCACTCAAAAACTTAATATGTTTAATTTTACATTGTAATCAAAATTGCATTGGATTTACCAATATTAAATATCCGAACTATTTGCTTGGCATACTACAGTTCTGTATGCCATTGTAGATTCTATACGAGTCGTCTTATTAAAATTAAACTGTGCATGGCTGAATGGATCTACTGATGGGCGTCGACTTTTGTAAAGAGTATATGAACATGCCCGATGGTACTGTACATAACATGCAAATCTCAAATTACGTAAAATCAAAAACATAGCTTTTCTTTCTTCAGTCGGCGGTTTAGGAATATGTCTTTGAAAATAAATAATTCATCTTTTGTTGTTGATGCGCTATTGAAAACATGAAGACTGTAAGTTTGTAATTTTATGATTTTTGAAAGAACTGGTCAGTCATCGGATAATAAAGATTGAGGTACTTCGCATCTGGAATATTTGATTTCGTAAAATTGATTTGAAGCAGCAATTAAATGCAAGTAGTCATTCCAAATAAATGATGCTTGAAGAACTGTGTTTTTTGTCAATTTAATTTTTTACTGTTTTATACATACATGTATATATATATATATATATATATATATATATATAAATTTAGAAAAACTGAGAGTATGAATAGAAGTCTGTATTTGAAGAAAATTGGGTATCTTTATTTTCGGTTGTATTAAATTTGACCCCAGAAAGCTGCAGAAATAATCTTGGTTATTAGATATTAATGATCATACCATACATGTATTTATATTCTATGTTTATAAGACCAGCCATGACGATTTACAAAATTATCGTCATTGATTAAGAGATCGCAAATTTTACCTTCCTTCCTTCCTTTGTTGAGATATGAGAACGGTCTGCGGTTTATAATCTCGTCCATTTTGAAAAAAAGAATATCGGGTGGATAGTTTTCTTTGGATTCGTGTCCAGGAACGTTGTCGATGTCTTCATATTTTAATTTCGAGGGGGTCTTTCACGTGCACAACCAATCTGTGCATATGTGTAGGTTATCGTATTATCCAAACGAATAGACACACTTACCTCGTCAGCCCTGCATACGCTTACTCTGACAGGTGTAACTCGGACTTACAAAGTGATTGATCTAAAAAGCTACAATATTTTAAAACATCTTGGTTCAATACATTAAATAAATGGGGTTTCCTTTGTCCTATTACGAAAATGGTCGATGTTGTCGGAATGTAACTCGATTCTTAACCGCAATATTTCCGTAACACGAACCAAGCGTTAGTAGTTGATACCAAGATATTTCAACAACGTGATTTTTTAACTATTTCACAACACGTTGATTAGTGTTAATCTTTAAGATCAATAATTAAAAGTAACTTAATTATTGATTCTTTTAGAGACTAGTTTGCTACAAATAATTGTTTTAGAAAATATAATCATATTGTGATAAGCACCACATTACAACGTGTGTTTGCCGAGTCCGTAGCCACGTTGTACCATGTATTTATTTGAAATTGAATTGTTGGGATTTTTGACAGTTACAGAATGCATGGCATGGTTGTAAATGCTGGATAACCGTCGTCTTTGATGATGTTGTGAAGATGTATGTTAGTCGACGATTGTCAATGACAAGTTGAACAATTTGATCACACATTCTTAAAATATTTGCATTTTAGAGAAAAGATTGGTGGCCGATAAGACAACATGGTAGCCCCTAGTACGATGTTATTTCTCCTAATAACGCTCCTGGTTAATCAATCGTATGGAGCCGCGTTTCTCAGGTCTTATATACCCAATCGTAAGTATGATTAGTTAATTTTGAATGTCAACTGTCAATATTTCAATTGCTTCGTTAATGTTAACTATTCTTTTACTTTACACAAAAAGGTTGAGGCCCGGAGTGAACTTTCACGATGTGAAATGACTGAGACTCAGCCTTCAAACATTTCGAACAAGTCGTCGTCAGCATTTGTTGACATCGAACGTGTCCGATGGTTGAAGTTTTACTTATTAACCCTGTCAGTTAAAGACCTTTAGACCAAAAAACGTAATACATAAACATCAACGTGTAGAACAATCATGACATCCACTAAATTTTACTCCATTCCAAAATAGGTAATAATGTAACAAAACTGGAAAAAATTGTCCTTTTAGTAACCAACAAAATATACACCCACAACAATCATTGCAATCCGTGTCGTCCTAATATCCGTTAATATATAGACTTCAATATGTTCCTTCCTCTTCATTAGCTGCCTTAAACGGAAAACTAAACCAGTGCACGTTAACAGAAGACATAAAGAAGAATGCAATCGTTCCTTTGCCCCGCAATTGGTCTCTTAACAAGCTGATTCCATCTAATATAAATGATATATTTACTGGGATTTTAATTCATTGAATTTCTATGTCGGTATATACACCATTGTTAACTTACAAGTTATCAACAGCTTGATCGAACGCCCAACGTGAAAACGAATGACATTGGCGCAACCCTTTTTTTTAAAAAGAATGTTACAATAAGTGAACGTATATTCATTCAAAATATTATTAAAATATTATGATAGACTATAATTATAATGCTGTTTTATGTAACGGTGTATGTGTAGAGATTATCTTTGAATATTTGAATATGATTGTAATCAAACAGTAAAGTTTGCAATCCTCATTCACTCATTGTTAACAGAAGTGCTTAACCTACTCTCCCACACACCCTAAATTTACCTTCAAATCATCAATCTTTCAAAACAATTAAGCTGAACATACCTTCCAAAATTGTAAGGTATTTTTCAAAGGACACAATCGAATAATTAAATGCAATTTTAGACTTAAAGTAAACAACCTTAATTGCACATACACAATATGGTGTATAAAGAAAGTAAGTAATTGAGAATAACCGTAATTATGTCTTAAGCGGTTTCATGTAATTCTATCTTTGATGTAGATTTTATTAACAAAGAAATAGTTTTCCAACATCGTAATAGTTATAAATTCGAGCTAATGTTTGAAGAATAATTCGTCGTAAACAACAGAATCTCAATTATTGTAACAGTGAAGTGACTTTTTATTCACGAAATAATTGTCAGTAGTGTTCTCACGTGTTAGTGAGAAAAGAAGAGAGTTCCTCTCCGCCTGTCTCTCCTCAGCCCGCGTTCACCAAATCATTCTATTGAAGTATTCAAATATTTACCTCTCACTCTCGCACCGTCTTCCTTTACTCACTGGTAATTTTGTTTAAACTTAAGGAGGATCTAGAGAAGTTTTGTGCTGAATAATAAAAAAATTGTATGACATTGCCCCGAAAAGAATGAAAGTGAATTCCACGAGATATACTTTCATAACTGATCTCACATTTTTGGTGTATTAAAGTCCATTTTCTTCTAGAAAATATCAGTATGCCAATATCCTACACCTATTATTTGCTATATATGAAGAAAACAAAATGATAATTAATGAATTTAGAGCAAATCCACCCTTTTGTTCAAAGATTAAAAGATAAAATGTGAACTTTATTTGACGAGAATAACAATAGATCTTTAAGCTGAGTTGTAATACACAAGGAAACAATTTTGTTTAATTAGTCATTGAAGTTAACCCTTGGTACTTTTAGGCCCATTGAAAAAAAAAAAGAAACGCGGTCCACCCTTTTTTTTCTTCTTCTCGATTCTGAAATAGCGTTATTGCGCTTAACCACGATTTTTAAAACATTATTTGTCTAGAAACTAGGATACGCTATCAAAATGTTTACACACATTCAATACTTATGTCAGCAAACAAATTTCTAAATCCATTTCCTTTTAGTTCTCATCAAAGATGAGTTGTATTTCTCCGAAAATTTAAAGATGCATCATGTAAGCTTTTTTAGGTGAAGAGCTGGCCATTCTTCCTATAATATTTCACAAATAGATTATTGAAAATAAATGTATTGAAAATCTCAGTAAAATTACTCGTTTCTGACCGAAGTTATCAGACTTTGAAGTGTTTAAAATATAGTCTCCATTGTCAAGTACCATTGTTACGATAATAAACAAAGTTTCAATTATGCATTTTTAATTAAATTATTAAATGGCGATCGTGGTCCATTGAAAATCGCGACCACCCGATGTTATAGAGAGTTGGTTATGAAGAATGTCTATAATTTATATAACATTTGAGGCCAATGGCAAAAGGAAGACCTGAAATAGACAGACAGATTTCACTCTTACATGAAATAGCGACACCAATACATTGTCTATTGATGCGAAATTATGATACATACCATTAAGTAAGATCAACGGTCCATATAGTTAGTTAATGGGACGAACACGACATCTCGTTAACACAGCCCGGGCCTTTTTTTCTTGACTTGCTGCCCTTATTGTTTATAGTTTTTTTTTCATTTTGAGTAGGCAGAAGGGCTAGCCACCGGATCCATTCACTTGATCTGATATGTGCGTTTGTTGATTGTGGTGTCTGTATATTGTGTCTTGTCCTGAGGTTTGTCTTGTGTAACTGTTTTTGTGTGGTTTAGCCCCCCCCCCCTTCCCTGCACTTATTAATAATGCATGCATCTTTCAACTTAACTGATATCCTAGTAAATATTCTCCGCCTACGACTAATAAAATATGCACATACAGAAAGGCATCTTTGCCACAAGTGTTGCACCCCTTCGGAATGTGACTAAAGGAAGAAAGATAAGTAGCCTGTCTATAGACTGAAAATTAAGAATTGAGATTTTATCCAATACTAGCCGCCTTTAAATACTAGAACCGGGTTATTCTCATCGGTTAAGACCACAAACTGCCAAAAAAGCTGGAATTTAGTATTTCTTATGCTATAAAATTAAATAATGTTTATATTATAGTTAATTGTCCTCGAATGAAAGATTGTGATTTATCATGTACTAAAGGGTATAAAACTACTATGTTTGGTTGTGCTGTTTGTAAATGTAGAACTGATCCATGTGAGGTAAGTCGATACCGATGATAATAACTTTGATCTATGATTAAACTAGGTTTATGATTAAAAAGGACAATTATTATGTTAATCTAGTTGGTCACGGCGAGTGCAGCCAATTCTGTATATATCGGATCACCGAACAACGAAATAATAAATGTCGGACAAAACGGGAGACACCAATAAATGTATGTTATTTGATGCGAAATTATGATACCGGCATAGGCGTGCTGGCCGATTTTCCTTGGAGGACCGCGCCATTTTTGCCCCAAAAATACGGCAGTGCCCAAAAATTGAACCTATATAACTTTACTCAAAATAACCGCATAAGTAAAATCTCGAAAAGCAATGATAAGTAGCGCTTAGCGGAGCTATATTTCTGAAAATGCAGTTTGAATTTGAGAACTAGACACCCTGAATCAAAATCAGAATTGTGTGATTTTCTGAAATTCTGAACTCCGGTCAGTAAAAATGCCGGATTTCGGGCACTTCATTTTATATCCACTAAAATTTACTTTCTTCATCATTTAGCCAGTGCCCAATAAATTTGATAATCGCCCGAAAAGTACTCCTATGGATACCGATAAGTAGGTCTCGTATAAGCTTAAAGCATTTGTATATCTTGAAGGACAGTTGGAATCGTACGAAGGACGAAGAGCTGTCGAAACGCCATTGTTCGATTGATATGACCATATTGTAAACGTAAACCTCCAGTGTTATGATCTACTAGCTCTGACTAATGAAATTCACAGCCAAAATATTTGATGATTGATGGGTGTGGGAATTCTTAAATATCTATTTGTATTTAACATTTGAGACACAAGTCGGTTTGAAAGTTAAATATGCGTGACTTTGGGCTATGTTAAACTGTTGGCAGTACTGAAAAATATGTATGATTCTGATATCGAAACTAAACGCAGAAATCAGTATTAGTCGACTCCAGCGTGTCCCAGAAAGTTCACTGGTCTGCGTCCTTGGGTTCTGGACTCATAAGACTTGAATGGATTTGTCTACGTAGACAAACGCATCTTAACAAACAAGTGACCGCCAACTTATTTTTCCACTAATGTTCGCAATGACGAACATTAGCGAGACCGAGTTCTCCCCTAAGATATGACATAACTGTATGTGGAAAAAAGGATAAACTTATGTTATCTATTACAGAATTTTCAATGTAATGAAGGTACTCATTGTGAACCTGTGATGAGACTAGGGTGGTTTGTATTCAATGTACCACACTGTAAGGCAGGTAAAATCATTTCTTTTTATCCACTGTGTCTAGTTGTTCTTCAAAACATTGCAACAACAAAATCGGGTTTCAATCTTAGATTCACATTACTGAAGATGAGATGCTTTTTAATATGAAGAATGGAGCTCGTATTGTCAATCTGAATACGTAGAATAGCGAGCTGAGACGTATCAACTAAGTGGTTCAATTTCCGAGCTGTCTTCCGAAACAAAGTACATACATGTATAATTACAGTTATCCCGATCACTGTTCAGTTTACTATTTAGAGGGAAAACTAGTATAACACGTTTTGGGGTCTTGACATTGCAGATGAGGGTACGGGGTCGAAAATGACCACGACCACTACAACAACTACTACTACAACCACCACACCAGCACCTCCAATACCGAAAGATGTACAGATTTGTCATTATGGACAACCAGCTAGTAATTGTAGTATCAATAGTCCTTGTCAGGATCCTGTCAAATACAAATGTGTTATATTGAACGCAGAAGGAAATGGACAATGTTGTCTAAAACAGCCTCTAGAACCCATTACGCTATCACCACCAAGTGATGAAATGCCTAGTAAGTATTCTTATAACCTTTCCGACTACAATTAAATCTGTTTTTGTTTCCTTGAACTTCTGAATATGTTGAATTACTCAACATACAGAGAGGTGACTGGTTCACATTATGACTTGTAGTTAAAAGCTGGCCAAAGTACACACAGTTCTCGATTATGACCCTGTGATAATTTATGATTAGATCTTACGTTTACATCAGCAGTCCAAAGACATCTGCTTGTAGGAACACTGTAGGTACAGAATTCGAATGCCCTTGTAAAAGGTGGCACGTTCTCTTTTGGTTGGACGGATTAGACTTATTTCGCGATTTACTAAGGTTTTATAGGAATAAGTCTTCAAACTTATTGTTTTAGGGTGTATGCAGAGTGCTGATACTGGTCCGTGTCGAAGCATCATACCACGTTATTATTACAATGCCACAGCTGGGAAATGTGAAAGGTTTAACTATGGAGGATGTCGAGAAAACGAAAACAACTTTGCTGATTTGGATTCGTGCAGACATACTTGCGGTGAGTTTGGGGGGATCTTTTTATAAACTTTCGGTACTCTACGTCGGTTGTTTTATGTTCGGTTGTTGTCAACCAAGATAGCTTCGGCTTCTGGTATACAAACCTATCGCATTAAAACAGACCGTACAAATCTAAAAATAGTCCATGGTAGCTTATGTTGTTTTTATCTCTCAACATGACAATCTTTTATTTCTACAGAAAATCCTTGTAATATGATGCCTACTGCTGGAAGATGTCGTGCTGCCATCGTTAGATACTTTTTCAACTCGACTTCCGGTCAGTGTGAAAGTTTCACTTTTGGTGGTTGTCAAGGCAATGGAAACAACTGGAGAACACTTTCAGAATGTCGACAGCAATGTGACAGGTCCTACAATAACTATTATTTCATGGGCAAGAACGAAGTGGACGAGTATAAGCCATGAATTTTGTAAAGCCCGGATTGCAATAGACACTACTTGTTACTAGTCCTGCCAGTTAAATTGTGATGGTGGCAAAAAGAATGTTTTCGTTTCTTTTATTGTTTTTTTTCCCTGAAATCACGATTTGCACACAGCACACATTTTGTTTTTGGGTTATCACAACTTGATATTTATGACGTAAAGACAAAACTAAACCGGTGTTAAAGTGAATATTCGAGCCTATTCGATAGAGTAGACCCATTTTTCATTAATTATAAAGCTTAGAAGCGGTATCTTGTCGTTTAACTATAGTAAACCTATATTTGTAGTTGTAATGAATTTTACTACTTACACTAAAACGTGAATACTACATAAGTGTCCATGCCTTTGCCTAGAGACTTAATTTTGTACATAGTTAAATTCGTGTTTACAGCATTTGACCGTAGAAACATGTAACCACGTAATTGTTCTCTATCATTATTTTTAGTTATTTATGTTTTGTTTTTCGTAATGCACATACTTGCCCGATATTAGTCTTTAATTGATTCATTTTAAATCACAAATTACGTTTAACAAAGACATCTTTTTTGCCGGGTCGTGAAATGAATGAAATTTTTGCTTGGGTTGCTTTTCTCCAGAAGCCTTGTTCAGCTTTGCTTTCTCCGCATCAGTATTTTCGATGTCCATTTTTATGTTTGTTTATTTCGAATGTGAGGATTTGCAGGCGAATCCGGCACCATTACTATGGAGAAAAGTATACAAAGCAGAAAATTTATCCAACTGCATCATCGACTCTCTTGTTCTCTTACAATATATTTTTTTTAATTTTCCCTTCCATTTTTCTTCACTAGGTCTCTACTATACTTGATAATAGGTCAAATATTGTCGAATTTCGTAATTTATTTCTAAATATTCCATGTTGGAGATATTAAATATAAATACACTTGATAGTAGGTCAAATATTGTCGAATTTCGTAATTTATTTCTAAATATTCCATGCTGGAGATATTAAATATGTTAAACGTTAAATGCTTAGGTTGTTTTACTTCCAAGTAAATATTCCTATCGTAGGCATGCATGCGGCAGCACTTTAATGAATCGTTTGCCGACCCGTTCTTAGATTAACGAATGTACATATTATTTTCTTGCCAAACGTTTAATGGACAGTTTGTTTAATACATATATATCCTCAATGACCTATAAATTATTTGAATAAACATATTTCCGCCTTTCTGTTCTGAGTTACCCTTTGTTTATAATTCGGGTTGCTGAATTGTGCATTTACTGTCTGCGCCATGCTAAAAACAATGTGTTTTCAATCGCGTGTGAACTAACTACTTTTAAGAATCGCTGGTAGGGCCTATAATAAAAACTTACTGTAACTACCCATATTTGAAATTACCTACGGCAAAATAAAATCCACTGTGTTAATTACTGAATGGCACAGTTTATTTCGTAGGATGGGCCGAGAGCATTCCATAAAGCCCCCGTCAGACCGGGGCGGCGTCCTTACTGCGCTGCTGCGACCGTACGGCGACCAAAAAATGGACAAGGTCGCCGGCAAACGTGAACACAATACGAGAAAATGTCAAATTTTTTTACAAACTTGACAAAAATCGCCTCCTCACAGCTTTCCAGGTCAGATCGCATAACCTTGGCGACCACGGAGACCACAACGCGATATCTGGCGTTTCCATCACGCTTTTACCACGCTAAATGACGATCTTGACGCGCTCTGGGACCATTTTCCGTCGCCGTAGCAGCGCAGTAAGGACGCCATCCCGGTCTGACGGGGTATAACGTTTAAATACAAAGATGCTTTTGCAGGCGCGGGGGTGTAGAAGGACACGTTATGTAGCCTTTGACTAGGATGACAGGGTCGTAATGAAAATGTCTGGTGATGGTCACTGGATTTGGAACTTTCGATTGAGAAGTGAGACGTTTGAAGTCTTATGTCTCAACCTCTAGTCGCTAGGATTAGGTGACTGCCCGAGAAAAAGGTATCAATGACAAAATTGACATATAGATGAAAATACTAAATGATGACAAATTTGATATATCAACTTTGAAAATAACCGACGCGGTGTATACATTAATGGAATTTCCTATTTCGGTCTGTAGGAAACATATATCCCTTCATATCTGAGTATGCATCTCCTGCACGTCTCGTTCGATCCTACATTTTGTTAAGGCCAGACTAATATACTACAAAAGCCTTTTATCCGATATAGCCTGATATCAAAACACCAGCCTGTTTAAAATACTGCAGCACTCATCACCAGTCACTCTTAACCTAAGAACTCTGATATTACACCAGCACTCAAAGATATTCTTAATTGGCTATTAAATCAATACAGATCGTTGTTCACATTGTGACCATTAAACATTATGCCTGAAATTTTCAATACAAAATTAAAACCTCATCTATCCACAACCTATTATAGAAGGCTGGCTGAAAAGTTCTATGTATGAAAGACCTTTACAAAGTCGATGGTCCCCTTCGAGGTGTACATAAGTCTTTTGTCAACGATGTTGCTAGGTCTGGATGACGGTCAGGAAGAAATTTTCTTCAGCCACCCTAAAAAGGTCGTTCACAGATGATATGATGTCATAATTACTAGAACCAGCGGCTGCCAGGCAGGATACACCCACATTTTGCAAGAGATGGATAGAAATGAAATGAAATGGGGTTTAACGTCCTACTGTTCTGCTTCTATACTGAGCTAATGAAGACGGGAGATGGATAGAGAACAAGCTAAAACCCAAAATGATTTTTTGTACCATCAGGGGCCATAATCCAGAAAGTTATGGCCTGAAATGTGCAAATATTAAAAAGGACTGAGATCTTTGGGATATTAAGATATGTTTTAAGTTTCTTCAAAATCGGATAAAAATTGTGACCTCTAGGGGGTCAACAACCTTCGTATTACACACTTCTACACAATTTGCGTACAAAGAGCGGCCATTTTGTTGGGCAGTTTCATTTCGATTTTCCCGAAATTTGAATTCAACCTTCATTATGGTGGAATGGTGATGTGTTTAAACGGTTTTTAAAATCAGAAAAAAAATTGTGACCTCTAGAGGGTCCACAACATTGATTTACCAGATTTTTACACTACTTGCAAATAAGGGGCGGCCATTTTGTCCAACAGTTTTGGTCCGATTTTCACGAAATTCGAACTCATCAAGCATTACGGTGTAACGGTGATACATTCAAACGTTTTTGTAAATCGGATAATAATTGTGACCTCTAGAGGGACAACAAGCTAAAAACGCGATTTTTCGTACAATCTGAGGCCATAATACAGGAAGTTACGACCCGATGTACGCGAATATTGAAAGGAACCGCAATCTTTGGATAAACATGCATTTCAAGTTTCATCAAAATCGGATCGAAATTGTGGCCTCTAGAGGGTCCACAACTTTGATATACCAGATGTTTACACTATTTGCGTACGAAGGGCGGCCATTTTGTCCGGCAGTTTTGGTCCGATTTTCATGAAATTCAAACTCAGACAAAATTACGGTGTAACGGTGATATATTCGAACGTTTTTTTTTTAAATCAGATAATAATTGTGACCTCTAGAGGGACCCACAGGCTAAAAACGCGATTTTTCGTACAATTAAGGGCCATAATTCAGGAAGTTACTATTCGATATGTACGAAAATCGACAGGAGCCAAGATAGTTGGGTTATAAACATGCTTTTCATGTTTCATCAAAATCAGATGAAAATTGTGACCTCCAGAGGGTCCACAACCCTGATACACAATATTTTGACACTATTTGCGAACGAGGATCGGCCATTTTGTCCGTCAGTTTCGGTCCGATATTTACGAAATTCGAACTCAACGGTGATATATTCAAACGGTTTTATAAATCGGATAACTGTTACCTCTAGAGGGACCCACAAGCTAAAAACGCGATTTTTCGTACAATCAGGGGCCATAATTCAGGAAGTTATGATTCGATAAGTACGAAAATCAACAGGAACCAAGATATTTGGGTTATAAACATGGTTTGCAAGTTTCATCAAAATCAGATGAAAATTGTGACCTCCAGAGGGTCCACAACCCTGATACACAATATTTTGACTATATTTGCGCACGAGGGGCGGCCATTTTGTCCGTCAGTTTCCGTCCAATATTTACAAAATTCGAACTCAACCAGTCATATTCAAACGATTATTTTAAATCGGATAAAAATTATGACCTCTACAGGGTCCACAAGCTAAAAACGCGATTTTTCGTACAATCAGGGGCCATAATTCAGGAAGTTACGGTCCGATATGCGCGAATATCGAAAGGAACCGAGATCTGTGGGTTATAAACATACATTTCAAGTTTAAACCAAATCAGATAAAAATTGTGACCTCTACAGTGTTCACAAGCTAAAAACGTGATTTTTCGTACAATCAGGGGCCATAATCCATGAAGTTACAGTTCGATACATGCCAATATCGAAAGGAATCGAGATTTTAGGGTGATAAACCTATATTTCAAGTTTCATTGAAATCGGATAAAAATTGTGACCTCTAGAGTGTTCACAAACACGGACGTCCGGACGGACAGGGCCGACGACAATATACGTCCACATGATGACCGACTAGTTCCTTTTTCATTTTCGTAAACAGGTCTCATCCATGGTTACAAATCGGGGAGAGAGAGAGAGAGAGAGAGAGAGAGAGAGAGAGAGAGAGAGAGAGAGAAATGTTTTTAACGTCCACTCGACACAAACTAGGTCATTTCGGGACTAACATAATATGATGGTTCAATTTTAATTCAATAATTCGCTTACGCGTAGGGGTCTTTAGCAGTGGGAGGAAACCTGAGGACCTGAAGAAATCCCACGAGTCTGGACAGGCGACCCTACTCCTTGTCACGTACAACCGAGGAATCGAGACCACGCCAGATGACTCAATGACAGACCTTATGATACAACGCGCACGTGCTAACCATTCGGCCATCCCCCCACCCCTGTTAAAAATCAGACCAAACTAGTCGTTGACAGGGAAGATACGCCACATTTTATCATTTTATAAGAGATGGATAGAGAACAAGCAAAAAAAAAAAAAAAAAAAAAAAAAAAAGGAGAAGAGGGGCGATAATCTAGAAAGTTGTGGTCTGAAATGCGTGAATATCGAAAGGGAGTGATATATATTGAATATAAAGATATATTTTACGTTGCATTAAAATCGGATAAAAATTGGTATTACATTCTCTTACACTATTTGCGTTCAAGGGGCGGCCATTTTGTCAGGCAATTTCGGTCCGATTTTCACGAAATTCGAACTATCCGCCATTAGGGAGTAACGGCGATACATTTAAACTTTTTTTTAAAATCGGATAAAAATTGTGACCTCTAGAGGGACTACAAGCTAAAAACGCGATTTTACAATCAAGGGCCATAATTCAGGAAGTTACGATCGGATATGCAGGAATTTCGAAAGGAACCAAGATCTTTGGGTTATAAATATGTATTTCAAGTTTCATTAAATCGGATCAAATTTGTGACCTCTAGAGGGTCCACAACCTTCTCTAGAGGGACTACAAGCTAAAAACGTTTTTACAATCAAGGGCCATAATTCAGGAAGTTACGATCGGATATGCAGGAATTTCGAAAGGAACCAAGATCTTTGGGTTATAAATATGTATTTCAAGTTTCATTAAATCGGATCAAATTTGTGACCTCTAGAGGGTCCACAACCTTGATATACCATATTTTTTTAAAATTATTTGATTACGAGGGGCGGCCATTTTGTTCGGCAATTTTGGTCCGAATTTCACGAAATGCGAACTCAACAGACATTATGATGTAACGGTGATATAATATACCAAGCAGCAAAAGAAACGTCAAGTTGGTATGTTACTCTGAATAGACGCATTGCATTTAAATTTGCCAAATGTTTTTATTGTATATTTGCGATCACATCTCCAACTTTACCTGACCAATAAGGCTCCTTCCCAAACACAGAATTGAACCCAGGAAATGTTCTCAAAAACGCAACCTGACTTCTGAGATGGTAATGTGTTCTCCATGATTTTCATGTAACTCATGCTGCACGTGCTGTTCACCGGGACCAGCCCTATAAAATGCACCCCATACCTAGTTGAATCATTCACACTACAACGTCAGCAGCATGTCCTGACTCACGACAGCTCAGGAACCAGGCGCTTGGAAGACACGACGCTGGCCACACTACCCAAGCCATTGCCAATCACTTCCAGGTCAATGTTCGGACCATCTACAAGCTTCAGCAACGCTTTCGGGCCATAAACACCACGGATGATCGCCCCCGAACTGGTAGACCAAGGTTTAACACAAGGCGACAAGACCGCCATGTTGTGCGACAGCACGTGCAGAATCCCTTTACACAGGCATCTGAGACAGCACGTCAGACAGTGGGAACACACGGAAGACCCATCAGTATCGATACAGTGCGCCGACATCTCACCAGAGAGAACATCCATTGCAATAGACCTTACCGTGGACCGATCCTCACCCTTCACCATCGACGTGAACGTCTAGTTTGCCCAACAACACCAGAACTGGCGACACAGGCAATGGAGAACTGTTCTGTTCACAGATGAGGGTCGGTATCACAGAGTGGTCGGTATTGCGTATCGACTGCAGATGGCAGGACCATAATATGGCGTCGACGTGGCCAGCGTTATGCTGACCAATTTGTCATGGAACGAGTCTCATGGGGAGGTCCAAGCATAATGAATTGGGGTGGAATCGGCCTGAACCAGAGAGTGGGTCCTGTGGTGTTCTAAAATCTTGGTCCAGGGAGAGGAGGCGGCATCACAGCAGCGCGCTACATCGATCAAGCTCTCAGACCCCACGGCATACCACATTTCGCACGTCACCGAAACAACGTTTTCCAGCATGATGGATTTCGCCAGGCTTTTCTGAGAGTGTGGTTCCAGGTGCCAATGGCGTTCATCAATTGTCTGGTCCACTCCCTGTACAGACGCTGCGCTGCTGTTATTGGCACTCGCGGTGGACATACCATATACTGATGTATAGACTGTGACAGTGTGCAGACTCTAAACCTTCTCGTAATGTCTTGGAATTGTGATGAATTAATCACTAATGTGTCAACATACTGTTAACAAAAAATTGTTTTGATCCATTTAGTAAGTCGTTTTCAAGAATGATTTGATTAAAGTGCCTATTTGATTTTGAAATCGGTTTTTTTGGGGGTTTTTTTAATATAATTGTGACATTTAGAGGGACCACAAGCTAATAAATGCAATTTTTTGTACAATCAGGGGCCATAATTCAGGAAGTAACGATCCGAGTTTCATTAAGATCAGATGAAAATTGAGACCGATTGAATTCGGAAGTCCACTTCTTTACTGTGGAAAAGGAGGGGACATCATCCCCAAAAGTGGAGACCATGTCGGCATGTATCTGCGTTGGGGTTAGTCCTTTCAGTTACAGATAATTGATGACTGCCGTAGAGCCAGGTTCATAAGATGGTCTGGTACGAAGACAATAATAACACCACAGTTGCTGTTCTTATGTCTATGATTTGTTCAATGATTGTACCTGTTGGTGAAAAAAATTTGTTTCAACCCAAATGATCGTTTCTGGCTTCGACCTGTTAAACCAGCCCTCGTATATGGCACATTTTTGACGACAGTTCATTCGAAGTCATATTTCTCGGCCGTTTCAGAACGGAGCTGGACGAAACTTAACAGGGACATTCTTTGGAACATTCCATAAACGAAATTTTCAGCTCTTTTATAATCTTGGTGTATTTTTTTGGTACCGGTATATTTTTGCAACCAATGTTCACAAGTATATTTGCATCTGGGTCTGGCTTGATGCCAATTTACACTAGGAGTAAAATTTAAATACCATACCTTTATATTTACTTTTGCATATGGCCAAACATATTTTGCATAAGATACACCCTGTGGCCAAGTGTAAATGTGATCATGGATATTTAGCTATAGTAGGATTTGAGCAATTTTTCAGACATTAAACTCTGTATATGTGTAAATAATTACATTTATTACAGATAATATATATTATACTACATGTATATACAAACAAGAGCATCATTACTGCTGCAATATACATCCACATTCCTGCTTTGATTGATATGGTACTTTTTAAAATGAAGACTCTGCCAATGGGGGTTGGACATCGACCAATATAAATAGGTACAATCCTATGATGGATCATAGTGAATCGGATCCAAATATGTTAATAATTGCAACCTGTAGATTATTTACAAACGAAATATTAACAAAAAGTGGGTGTGGCACCTCCGGGGGGGGGGGGGGGGTAGAGATCATGCACCAAAATCAATAATTCCGTCCTTAGGGTATAAGGAATAAGTATACCAAGTTCCAAGTCAATCCATTCAGAAAAATTGGGAATGACACTACCCCTGGGGTCGGGAATTTCACCAAAAACGAAAGGGAAACATCCTTAGAGTATAACTTATAAGGAATACGTATTCAAATTTTCAAAAGGATCTGTTAAGAATTGCCGTCTGTAGGCAACACAAAGTCACACACAAAAACTGGTGGGTGTGGCTGTGTGGGACAAGTGTGGGGGTATAAAAATACAGAGACGAGTGTTTGCCAAGCACAGAGAAAAAGCTGCAAAGACAAAAGGATTTTCATGGTACATAAACCAAGAAGTTAGGGTCCAATATGAGCAAGCATCTTAAGGAACCCAGATTTTTGGGATATCAACATAGATTTTAAGCTTCATCAATATTGGATAAAATTTGTGACCTCTAGATGGTCCACAACTTTGGTATTACCGGTACATACTTTACACTATTTGCGTGCAGGGTGCGGCCACTTTATTGGGCACTCTTGGTCCAATTTTCAGAAAATGAAAACTCAACTGTCATTATGGTGTAAGGATTATACATTTAAACATTTTTGTAAATCAGATAAAAATTGTGACATCTAGGGACCATAATCCAGGAAGTTACGGTCTGATACATGCCAATATCGAAAAGAACCGAGATCTTTCGGATGTATTTCAAGTTTCATCAAAATCGCATAAAATGGATTCACAAGCTAAAAACTATATTTTTCATACAATCAGGGGCCATAATCCATGAAGTTACAGTCCAATATGTGCGAATATCCACATGAACCAAGATCTTTTGGATAAAAACCTATTTTTTAAGTTTCATTAACATTGGAAAAAAATTGTGACCTCTTGAGGGTACACTTGCAACCTTGGTATTACATACTTTTACACTATTAACTTATGAAGAGCATCCATTTTCGCTCCGATTTTCACGCAATTCTAATTCAACCATCATTAGGGTTTAACGTTGTTTTATTTGAATGTTTTTTAAAATCCGATAAAAATTGTGACCTCCGGACGGTGCACAAGCTTACAATCAGGGGCCATAATCCATGAAGTTATAGTCTGATATGTGCAAATATCTAAAGGACACACAACATGTTTGGGATATAAACATATACATGTATTTTATTAAGTTTGATCATAATCGGATAAAAAGTGTGACCTCTGGAAGGGTCCACAACCGTTGTAGTAGGAGCGGCCATTTTTGGCCCAATTTTCACAAAATTCGAAATCAGATAAAAATTGTGACTCTTAGAGGGACCACTAGCTAAAAACGCGATTTTTCATACAAACAGGGGCATATGGTTATAAACAGGGGCATAGGGTTATAAACATAAATTACAAGTTTGATCAAATTCGGGTTAAAATTATTGTTGAAAATTTATATTTTTATGAAAGCTTCTAGTGGAATTTTATATTTTACAATCAAATTTTATGATTATTTTATGATGTTTTTATCAAATTTCATGATATTTTTATAATGTTTTCATCACATTTCATGACTTTTTATGTTTTTATCATTATCAAATATTATAATTTTTTTTATATCTGCACTGACAGTAAATAACTTATCTCTGGTCCATAAAGTAATGTTCAGCCAGTGTTATGCAGATGAGAAGGACCCATCAGTAGCACTGGTGGTATTAATGGTAGCAGTCTCCTATGTTCATATACCCACATAACATTGACTGAACACTGTCAAATAGAAAATGAAAGAGAGCAGCAAGCTGGGGTAGATAAAAGGCCTGGATGATTTTCTTATTCACATTCGGATTTATTAGTATAGAAATTTATTATTGAAAGTATTGATTTATAATTTATGGTTAATTTTATATTTGGACAAATTTTTCAGCTCATTTAATGAAATTTTATATTTTTTATGATATTTTTCCATTTTATGATAAATTTATGAGAAACAAGCCAACAGTGAGGTTGATGTCCCCTGCCAAAATCCTGAAATAATAGATGACACATAATAATTAATTGCACGTTCATCTTTTTCAAAAGTATCGAGCAATCAAACTGATTATCAACCATACACTTAGTTTCATTACTCTCTAAAGCTAAGCAGAGCTAAGCAATATCTTTGATTCTATCTGGGCCCAGTTGTTCAACTATTAGTTAAATTTAACCATGTGGTTACGTTTAACCATAGGTTATATATTTAACTAATCGTTACATAACCTGTGTTTAAATTATTTAACCACATCGTTAAATTTAACCACAAGTTGAACAACTGGGCCCGATAGAATCAAAGAAATTGCTTAGCTCTGCTTAGCTTTAGCGGGAAATGTTAATCATTGAACTCAGTCAAGATATTCATCTAATGAACATCCACATCAAATTTAAACATTCTACCTCAATTAAAAGCAGAGTTGTTATGTTCCAAAGTCTTGACCAATCAAATTGCTTATCGCTCCTTAGCGCAAGCAGAAAATTCTCATCAAACTTAGTCATGGTAATGATATAATGAATCTATACTTGAAGTTTCATAGCTATCACTTAATTATCTGCCCAAAAGCATCAACCAATCAAATTGCTTATCTCTGCTTACCGTAAGCAGACAATGTTCATCATCGAACACCATCAAGTTTGAACACTGCTTATCGCTCTGCTTACCCTCAGCAGAAACTGGTCGTTATCAAACTTAGTCAAGGTATTGATGTGATTTTTCATACAATCAGGAGCAATAATCCATGAATTTAGGGTCCAACTCCAATACGTGCCAATATCAAAAGGAACCGGGATGTTTGGGATATAAACCTATATTTCAAGTTTTGTCAAAATCAGATAAAAAATGTCCACAAACAAACTCAGGAGCGATGACAATATACATCCACATGAAAATGTGGGCGTATAAAAATATATCAGTATATATAATTATACATAATCTATGCATAAGGAGGTAAGAACGTTAACATTACAAGTATGTAAAATATTGCACATTCTATATAATAAATAGGTTCATTGTCTGGGTTGTGAATTTTTGAAGTAAAAGTCCATTCCTTTTTGTTGTTTTAATTTACTACCTCCTCCTCCTCTACCACATCCACCACCACTGCCCTGAATTAAACAATCGTTTGATTACATAACAGTAAGTAATATTTCCTTTTTAGTGTAAACAAGCCAACAGTGAGGCTGATGTCCCCCGCCAAAATCCAAAATAAATAGATGACTCAGTAAATGTTATGAAATACCTGGAATGTGAAACTAGAAACTAAGTTTCATCACTCTCAATCAGTTAGAATCAAAGTTATCTTTTCATAAAGCATCCATCTATGAAATGCATATAGCTCTGCTTAGCTTTAGCAGGAAATGTTAATCATTGAACTCAGTCAAGACATTCAAATCAAGTTTAAACATTCTACCTCAATTAAAAGCAGAGTTGTTATGTTCCATAGTTTTGACCAATCAAACTGCTTATCGCCACTTGTTCAAAACAGAAAATTCTCATCATCGAACTTAGTCAAGATATTAATATAATAAATCTATACTCGGTGTTTAATCACTCTCACCCAATTAGAACCAAAGTTATTGTGTGCCAAAGTCTCAACCTATAAAATTGCTTATTTCTGCTTAGCCTCAGTGGGAAATGCAAATGATTGAACTGTCATGGCTTTCACCTAATAAACCCCTACACCAAGTTTGAACACTCAAGCTCAATTAGATAGAAGGAGAGTTATTGTGTCCGAAAAAGTGTGACGGACGGACGGACAGACTGACAGAAAGACCCATTTTAATAGTCGCCTATTTTCTTCGAAAGGCTGAGGACAATTAGTACATAAAATAGAATGTGAAGGTGTGAAAAGGCACGAATTCTGCAGGGACTAGTTTTTGTTACTACATTACATCCGATATAAACAATGCATGTGTTATCAACACCATATGATGTGATGTCACACATAGCCCTATACTGCATCTGATCTTAAAGGTCAGCTATCTTGTACAGAGTTAAAAGAAGGCTTTCACATTACTACTGTGAAACAGATGACTGTGACTGTCCACCTGCAGTATATCCATACTTTTAAATTCTAGAGGAATGCAAAATCAACTATAAAATAGAAAATTATTTTGCCACAAACATGTGAAAATATGTACTTACAATTTTTCCCATGTGTTTGGCCCATTCTGGCGCTATTAACAATGGTTTAGGATAAGTTTCAGCTAACACTACTTCTGCACGTGAAAGGACGGCACTACTTAAAGCCCACACCGTATGTACATCAGCACCTTTAACTTTATTCAATTCAGGAATCCATAATCGTATGAAATCACCCTTTAAAAATGAATTGTAGATTTAACAAAATTTTTACTAATTCATAATGGGTTCACAACATGCCGCCAAGGTGGTATAATCATAGCTTAGTCTTTTTATAAATATAAATTTGCACTGATTGAATTATTTAATTTACACTATAAACTGATTTAAAGTACATCACTTACATTGGGGTCATAATCTAAGCCTTGTTTAACCATATTAAACTTTCTGTCTTCTCTTGGATCATTACCTATACCAGCACTATATAACCAATTACCATAGTTACTACATACATCATGATCTATCTATAATAATAAACTATTAATTAATATACCTACACTACTCAATTATCAACCAGCGGCTGCCAGGCAGGATACGCCCACATTTTCGAGAGATGGATAGAGAACAAGCTAAAAAGAAAGTGATTTTTCCTACAATCGAGGGCCATAATTCAGAAAATTACAATTCGATATGCACAAATATCGAAAGGAACCGAGATCTTTGGGTTATATACTTACATTTCAAGTTTCAACAAAATTGAATAAAAATTGTGACCTCTATAAGGTCCACAACCTTGATATACCATATTTTTACGCTATTTGAGAACGAAGGGCGGCTATTTTGTCTGTTAGTTTTGGGCCAATTTTCACGAAATTGGAACTCAGTCATCCTTATGGTGTAACGGTGATATAATTATACGTTTTTTTAAATCGGATAAAAATTATGACCTCTATAGGGTCCACAAGCTAAAAACACGATTTTTCGTTCAATCAGGGGCCATAATTCAGGAAGTTACTGTCCGATATGCGCAAATATCGAAAGGAACCGAGATCTTTGGGTTATAAACTTACATTTCAAGTTTCAACAAAATCGGATAAAAATTGTGACCTCTATAGGGTCCACAAACCAAAAACGTGATTTTTCGTACAAACAGGGGCCATAATCCATGAAGTTTCGATCCGATACTTGCCAATATATAAAGCAGCCGAGATCTTTTGGAGATACACCTATATTTCAAGTTTCATTAAAATTGGATAAGAATTGTGACCAGTAGAGTGTCCACAAACAAATTGTGGACGGACGGACGGACGGACAGGGGCGACGGCATAATACGTCCACATGAAAATGTGGGCGTATAAAAATTGTGACCTCTATAGGGTCCACAACCTTGATATATCATATTTTTACGCTATTTGAGAATGAAAGGCGGCCATTTTGTCTGTCAGTTTTGGGCCGATTTTCACCAAATTTGAACTCAACCATCCTTAGGGTGTAACGGTGATATAATAATAGGGTTTTTTAAACAAGCTAAAAACGCGATTTTTCGTACAACCAGGGGCCATAATTCAGGAAGTTATGGTCCTTATGCGCAAATATCGAAAGGAACCGAGATCTTTGGGTTATAAACTTACATTTCAAGTTTCAACAAAATCGGATAAAAATTGTGAGCTCTATAGAGTCCACAACCTTGATACGGAGTGCCATGGAAAATGCATCACTTTTTTTTCCCAAATATTTTATTACTAGGTGGTTTTGTATGTATAATATTATGCAATACTATGTGCCAAAAAAAAAATTGCACAAGATGCACATGAAAAACCCAATATTCACGTGCAGCATTGTGTGTGAGCCTTTTAAAAGCATGTTTTCAACTTAATGTGCAGTACATGAACTGTGAAACGTCAATCTGTCGTAATTTGTTGTTGGACGTGTGAAGGAATCGAGCTAGAGATGCCGATACTTACTGAAAATCAACGGAATGAAGCCATGGGAATGTTCAGGGCTGGCATGTCTACACGTGCTATTGCCAGACACTTCAATTGTGATCAGTCCACTATTGTAAGGTTGGTGGAACGTGTTCGAGTTACTGGATCAACACGTGACCGTCAACGTCCTGGTCCACAACGCGTTACAACCCAGGCTCAAGACCGCTACATCCGGGTCACTCATCTGCGTGACAGATTCCGCCCAGCGACTCAAACAGGTGCAGCAGTCGTCGGAAGACAAGGACCAGTAAGTGCCAACACTGTAAGATGTCGTCTAAGAGAAGTAGGACTCCGTGCACGATGACCTTATGTTGGAGCTATCCTCAGGGATCATCACCGTCAGCGACGTTTGATATGGGCTCAAGGACACCAGACATGGAGAAGAGTCGACTGGCAAAGTGTGCTCTTCAGTGATGAGAGTCACTTTCATCTTTATCACGCTGATGGCCGTCAACAGGTGTGGAGACGTCTTGGGGAACGTCTTGCAGACTGCTGCGTCTTTGAAACGAATCGATGGGGTGGGGGAAGTGTAATGGTGTGGGGAGGCTTCACATTTCATCACCTGACTGCCCTACACATTTGCAGGGGTCGCATGAATGCTGTAGCCTACCGTGATGATGTCTTGCAACCAATTGTTGTTCCGATGTTTCGAGCACACCCACAACTTCAGCACTTCCAACAGGATAATGCACGCCCGCATACCGCCTGTTTTAGTATGGACATGGCACCGATAGAACATGCCTGGGATGAGATTGGACGCTGTCTGTATCGGAGACCACAGATGCACACAATTGCTGCTTTAGAAGCTGCTCTTGTCCAAGAATGGAACAATTTCCCCAGGTCTTCTTTCAAACATTGGTAAATTCGATGAGACGTCGCTGCACAGCATGCCTAAGAGCCCGTGGAGGACACACACGCTACTGACATCTGTGTCGTACTTTTGGTTTTGACCCCTCTGACTTTGTACCGCTGAATACAGATTAAACATCCATAAGTGTACAAATGTGTTGTTATTGATGTGTTCCCATTTGAATATTGTTCACAATAAGAAGCAAAATAAATAAGATATGTTTACAGGATCATTTTGTTATACGAAAAACTAAGTGATGCGTTTTCCATGGCGCTCAGGCTGACCTTAAAAATATCTTTGTTTCACCAAACCCGACCCACAATCGAGGAGAAGGGTCGGTAGGTCGGGTTTTTTTTCAGATTTTTTTTTTAAAGTTAGAGAAATCAATACAGAAAACTTATTAGCTGTATACTACAGATTCATTAATTTTGTTTAATGAATTTGGGGTCTGACGTAAAAAGTAACGAACTGAAAGTTTTTTTTATTAAACTTAAGAGCTAATTTGACAGCTTAATAATTTTCCGGGTGGAAACATTCGTCTTCTTTATTCAATTGGCAAAAAAATAAATGAGTGAATGACATCGGGAATTTTTCGTGATGCCCGACTCGCAAACGATTTGCCACGAACTTGAAGTGTGAAACTCCTTCATCACGTGTTTAACGATACTGCGGGTTGTGCCTTCATTTTTCTCGAAAACGGATATTGAAAATATCGTCGTCATGTTTAAAACTACGCACCACAGACATAGAAGCAGAATCATTTCGTGGGAATGGACGTGTATTCGTCTGCAACCATTTTGTTGAGAAGCGACACCTATGACGCTTTCGTCTTGATCAACCAGTTTCAATAATGAATCAAGCCATAGTAAAGGGAAATAACTCTCGTGATATATTTCAGGTTGACACACAAAATAAAATAAAAAGATCGTGGAAAAGTGCAATAAAATAATTTAAGTCGGGGGTGGTTTTAGTTAGTCGGTCGCGTTAGGCGAAACAAAGATATTTTTAAGGTCAGCCTCAGTATATCATATTTTTACGCGATTTCAGAACGAAGGGCGGCCATTTTGTCTGTCAGTTTTGGGCCGATTTTCACGAAATTCGAACTCAGCCGTCCTTAGGGTGTAACGGTGATATAATAATACGTTTTTTTAAATCGGATAAAAATTATGACCTCTTTAGGGTCCACAAGCTAAAAACGCGATTTTTCGTACAATCAGGAGCCATAATTCAGGAACCGAGATCTTAGGGTGATAAACCTATATTTCAAGTTTCATTGAAATCGGATAAAAATTGTGACCTGTAGACTGTTCACAAACAATTGTGGACGGACGGACAGGGGCGACGACAATATACGTCCACATAAATGTGGGCGTATAAAAATATTTTAATACCATTGCTGCTTCCAACAAAGTTTTAATTACGTTTTCATTAAAACATGAAAATAACTTACCAACATGGATTCAAACCACTCTGCTCCTAATCTCCAATCTAATTTTAAATCTTTGGTTAAGAAACTAGCAACATTCTGAAACAAGTAAAGTAAATATGTAAAGTTTTTGGATCATGGCCATGAATTAATAAACCAAATATTTTTTTTGGTTTCTGTCCATAATATTTTAATGTCACTACACATTTTTTCTCAAATCACCCTTGAGCTGTAAGTAGCTTACTAACATGTACTGTGCACAGGACTTGGCATGCTTACTCTTTTTAGTACATATCTGATACCATTTCTTACATATGTAACCCAGAACCTCTGTGGCTCTGTGGTATGGTTCAAACTTTAATCCTAATGTTGGCTGAGAAATTAAAGCAGCTCAAGTCCTTCCAGTCAGGTTTCTCCTTGTCAGTGCTAGTGGAAGATAGAGAGCCTGGCAAGAAAAAGTGTCTTGTCATTTGGATGGTCTTGCTTGTGTGGAGTAAAAACTGCCTGGCTTCATTAGCCCATTTGGTGCACAAAAGTAGGATGTTAAAGTAGCTAAGTCTCTAACTCAATATCATCCAAAATCTTCAACATTGAAAACACTAATTATTTAGTGTACCATAATGCTTTTCAGCCCCAGTTCTAGCAAGAGACTCGAGGAACGAGGCTAGACATATTGCACCAAACCAAATGGCGTATGTAGACTGGAATAACCAGGCGCTAAAATTTGCATTCGATTGAGACTGGGGCTTATTTCGCGGAACATAACTGATTTGAAATTAGAGTAAAAACGGAAACCATTAAATGTATATCAGTTTAATACATTCATATTACAGTATTATATGAGTTGCGACCCACTTGTGTCAATTTCTAGGCCCCAAATATTAGCGATTTAGCTCCTTTAAACCTCATTCATTTCAAGTTCCAAAGGAATTTAACAAATTATGTTTTAAAATATTCTTACCTGTCTGCCCCTATTGGACATAAAACCGGTAGCAGCTAATTCTCTCATATTAGCATCTACATAAGGTACCCCTGTTTTACTCTCTATAACATAAATAACAATACACTTTAGTTTGAAGTAGCTAAGTCTCTAACTCAAAATCATCAAAAATCTTTGACATTGGAAACCACAAATTATTTGTCAATTCAAATCAACATTGGTCTTGTGATCTTACAGGGAAAAGATGGGCTTCTGACATCTAATATTCAAGACAAAATAAACATTTTACCATTGGTACACGAATCGTGTACCATAATGCATTTCAGTGCCATTTGGAACAAGGGACTCAAAGAATGCGGCTAATCCTATTCCACAAGTCATGTCAAATAGTGACGCTATATTCTTATCTGGAGAGCATGCACAATAAATATCATCGGTGTAGACTGGAATAACCAGACGCTAAATATTGCCATTCAATTGAGACTTCTGGCGTATTTCGCCGAACATAACTGATTAGAAATTACAGTAAAAACAGAAACGGTTGAATGTAAATCAGTTTATATACATTCACATTACATTATTATATGCGTGGTGACCCATTTGTGTCAATTTCTAGGTCCCAAATATTAGCAATTTAGCTCCTTTAAAGAATAATTGGTTTCAATTAAATATTTCTTCTGGGACCTGTATCACAAAGCATATATATATGCAAGATTTTTATACACACAATTCTAACATTTTACTATAAAACACTTAAGAATCTCATATACTGAGGCGCATTGAAAACATATCACTTTTATAAATGGAGATTCACCATGGCCTAGACAGCAACGTGTGACAGAGTCCAAACAAGACCGGAACATTATCTGGTTACATCTGAAGCTTTAGACGCTCCAACCTTCCCATGCTGCTGCTACTGTGAATATATTCTGCCAGACTGTGTGCCAGATGCCCCAACATTAAACCAATTCTGACTCAATGTCATCACTGATTTTAGATTTTGACCCCTTGTAACTAGGTTTCACAGTAAAGTAATTTGTTATGGACTCGGGGGGAATGTTGTTAATTTTCTTGTGCCGTTAAATGGAAATCAGTCATGCGTTTTCATTGCATCTCAGAATATTCAATTTGTTCGATAGTAAAAGTTTGTGCTTTATTTTCAATCTATTTCAAACATAAAATACAGTATTCAAGATATAATTACCTTTCCATGCATTGAAAGCATTTTTATCTGTTTTCCATGGAATATGTTTACCTTGAATACCTGTATAATGAAAACAAGCCAACAGTGAGGCTGATGTCCCCCGCCGAAATCCCAAAATAAATAGATGACACATTAATTAATAGCACATTTATTTTTTTTCAAAAGTATCAAGCAATCAACCTGATTATCAACTATACACTATGTTTCATCAATATCGGATTATATAATCAAAGTTATGTTGTCCCAAAGCATCGACCAATGAAATTTCTTAGCTCTGCTTAGCTTTACCTCAAATGTTAATCGTTGAACTCGGTCAAGATATTCACCTAATGAACATCTACATCAAGTTTAAACATTCTACCTCAATTAAAAGCAGAGTTATGTTCCAAAGTTTTTACCAATCAAATTGCTTATCGCTCCTAGTCCGCGCAGAAAATTCTCATCAAACTTAGTCACGGTCATGATATAATGAGTCTGTACTCTGCGTTTCATCAATCTCACTTAATTAAAACTAAAATTATCGTGCCCCAAAGCATCAACCAATCATATTGCTTATCTCTGCTTACTGTAAGCAGACAATGTTCATCAAAGAACTCCATCAATGCATTCACCTAATGAACGCCTACACCAAGTTTCAACATTCTAGCTCAATTAGGAGAGTTATTGTGTTCCAAAGTCTCGGACAATCAAATTGCTTATCGCTCTGCTTACCCTGAGCAGAAAACGCTCATTATTGAACTTAAGTCAAGGTATTGATGTAATGAAACTATACACCAAGTTTCATCACTTTCACTAAAGTTATCGTGCCCAAAAGCATCAACCAATCAAATTGCTTATCTCTGCTTACCCGAAGCAGAAAATGCTCATCTTCGAATTCCATCAAGGCATTGACCTGATAAACACCTATACCAAGTTTGAACATTCTAGCTCAAATTAGGGGTGATGATTTTCCGTGATCGCGGAAAAAACGCGGAAATCGCGGAATTGTCCACTCAAAACGGAATTTGAAATCTCACACGGAAAAAGACGGAAAAGCCGATATTTGCTGATACTAAACACAAACTCAAAATAATTTTGCAGTTATCCAAGTATTTCATCTTTTTATTCATAAAAATCGGAAATATTGAATGATATCGCGTGGTTTTGTTACTGTCTATTTTAGTATTTCGCTACTTTCATTTCATCATTTAGGAATCATAATTTTAATCGAAACGAAAACCCGTCTTTCATGTATCCCATTATAAAAAAAGGCGGGGGACAATAAGCATGAACATTTACTCAATTCGAAGATCAACCAATCAAATTGTTTATCTCTGCTTACCATAAGCGGAACGGACAGACAGACAAACAGACAGACGGACGAACCCATTTTAATAGTTCCCTGCTTTCTTCGAAAGGCGGGGGACAATCAAAGTAGGAGAGTTATTGTTTTCCAAAGTCTCGACCAATCAAATTGCGTATCGCTCTGCTTACCCTGAGCAGAAAATGCTCAATTATCAAACTTAGTCAAGGTATTACTGTAATGAAACTATACACCAAGTTTCATCAATCTCACTTAATTAGAACTAAAGTTATCGTGTCCCAAAGCATCAACCAATCAAATTGCTTATCTCTGCTTACCCTAAGCGGAAAATGCTCATCTTCGAACTCCATCAAGGCATTGACCTAATCAACACATACACCAAGTTTGAACATTCTAGCTCAATTAGGAAGAGAGTTATCGTGCCCCAAAGTATCAACCAATCAAATTGCTTATCTCTGCTTACCCTAAGCGGAAAATGCTCATCTTCGAACTCCATCAAGGCATTGACCTAATAAACACATACACCAAATTTGAACATTCTAGCTCAATTAAAAGTTATCGTGTCCCAAAGCATCAACCAATCAAATTGCTTATCTCTGCTTACCCTAAGCGGAAAATGCTCATCTTCGAACTCCATCAAGGCATGGACCTAATCAACACATACACCAAGTTTGAACATTCTAGCCCAATTAGGAAGAGAGTTATCGTGTCCCAAAGCATCAACCAATCAAATTGCTTATCTCTGCTTACCCTAAGCGGAAAATGCTCATCTTCGAACTCCATCAAGGCATTGACCTAATAAACACATACACCAAGTTTGAACATTCTAGCTCAATTAGGAAGAGAGTTATTGTGTCCCAAAAAGTGTGACGGACAGACAGACGGACAGACAGACGGACAGACAGACAGACGGACGAACCCATTTTAATAGTCCCCTGCTTTCTTCGAAAGGCGGGGGACAATAATACACCAAATGAATTTTAGTTTGTAAATTCTTTTGTGAACATAATCAAACAATATATATGTGAAAAGAAAAATGAAACACAAAAACCCACAGGGAAAACTTCATTTCCCAGCATATGTAATGATGTTTAAATATCTGAAGCACACTGATCAGCAGTGAATATTCGCTAGGCCGCTACAATCACTGATAAGGATGACATCGATGTGACTTAAGGAGCCCCAAATATTAACTTTTTTCCTCCGACAAATTAAATTCTAAAACATTTTTTTTATGTATTATAAAAATAAATAAAGACGTTTGAAGTATTTGTAGGTAAGAATTATTTCCTATTTAGTGTAATGTCTTATGTGAACAATGCACGCCCCATTGAGCCAATGATTGACGCCGCGTAATGTGATGTCACGTGTTAAAGGCAGTTATCTTTTACAGAGATATTAGAAGACTTTCGTAATACTCTGTGAAACAGATTGTATCTGAAGTTCAATAACAAGAGTGCATGTATATTAAAACACAGAAAACTATGTATGTCATGTCTATTGGAGTATAAATTAATGATTGAAATTGATACCCTCTTTTACAGTACATTTTAATCATAGACCAAGTACAGTTTTGAAACACTTCTATCAGTTTATTAATGTCTACTTTAGAAAATAATGCTAAATGTTTACTTACCACCAGGATAAAATATCTTGTCTCCATATTTCAAGGCCACATATCGAAAATAATCTCTCCATAATAGTTCAAATAATACCCAATATGTTGACTGATTGGCTGTTCTTTCTTTTTCATAACGTTTAATTTCTGAGTAAATAAATCGAGGTGAAAGACACCCATGCGCCAGCCTAGAAAAAATAAGAAAACTTTTATCACTTTGAATGCTATAGAGGGTTGGTTAATCTTGACTTTTAATCATTATATCTCACCAATTTTGTTACTAAAGCTGACTGTATAAAATTTGTAGAACGGCTAAATAGCAACCAGTTTTTCAGCTGTCAGACTAAGTTGAAGAATATGTAGAAATAAATAGATAATCTCCTACGAGTCCTTCCTGATATCAAAAAAGATTAGTAGGAGATTTTATTTATCACCCAACCCTTTCTTATGCACACAATTAAATAAATATAATTCTTTGGTATAGATTTAATGTTACTGAACCGGATTACATTACGGACGGGGTAGTGATACATCATTTTTTGACAAGAAGTCACAAGTTGCCAAGTTTTATATATTGACACATTGTTTCCTGTAATTGTTTATGGCAATTAAGAACTCTTTTCCAACAATATTACTGGATCCAAAAAGTAGTTCCTTTTTAATAAATAAGTGGTTGCTATGCAAGATACACCCACATTTTGCAAGAGATGGATAGAGAAATGCAATCAGGGTTCATAATCCAGGAAATTATGCTCCAATATGCACAAATATCGAAATGAACCAAATCTTTTAAATATAAACACATATTTAAGTATCATCAAGATCGGATAAAAACTGTTACCTCTAAAGGGTCCACAACCTTGGTATTACATACTTTTACACTGCGTGTAGCAGCCATTTCGTCAGGCTGTTTTGGTCTGATTTTCACAAATTCGAACTTAACCATCATTAGGGTGTAACAGTAATATAGTTAAACCTTTTTTTTTAAATCTGTAAAAATTTGTAACCTATAGAGGTTCCATAAGCTAAAAAACATGATTTTTCATAGAATCAGGGGCTATAATCCAGGAAGTTTTGGTCAGATTTTTACGAAATTCGAACTCAACCATTCATTTAGGTGTAACAGTGATATGTTTAAACCTTTTTCAAAATTGAAAACAAATTGTGACTTCTGGGGGTCCACAAGCTAAAAACACAATTTTTCGTACAATCCAGGCAGTTACAATCCGATATGTGTGAATATCGAAAGGACCCAAGACTTTTGGGTTATTAACATACATTTCAAGTTTCATCAAAATCAGATGAATATTGTAACCTCTAGAGGGTCGGTGAGGTCATCTTTCTCCTCAATCTGAGGAAAGTTGTTCAAGTAATGACATCAAAAACAAGGATGCAAATACTACGGACACTGTCTCCGAATCAGCGGAGGATAAAAATGGCAGATCACCCTGTCCGGTACCTTTCCCAACTACAAGTAACTGGGAGGCTTTTTGTGAAGGAGATGATCCTTTCCTTGAACTAGAGGCCTGGTCATTTTTTGCACAATGAATCGCGACAATTTGGCAGAATCAAATCTCAGTAAAGAAGACTAGGTGTTTTTACGTTTCAATCGCGAAACGCAAAAACAACTCCGTGAGCTTCTTGTAGAATTCAAGAAAGACTTCCCACGAGCCACTTTTCAAAGTATGCCAAATAGCAGCATAATTCTTAGCCTAACCTAAGACAGAGAATCAAAATAGGGACGAGTTCCCAATTTATGTAGTTGTGTACCCCCATAGCGAAAACTAATATGAAAAATTAGTGCAAACATCCCCATAAGCTAATAGAGTTATTCATAAGCCCTCATTAGTTTATAACCGAACATCTTTGCACATCTTTTGGAATAATCGACTCCGGTGTCAAAGATCGACTCCGGTCCACTTGTGACATCACATGTGTTCCAGTTTCCACTGACTATACGTGTAGGAGGGTTGGAAGGCCGAATGGTTAGCATTCGCGCGCTGTATCATAAGGTCTGTCATTGAGTCAACTGGTGTGGTTTCGAGTCCCTGGTTGTCAACTGGCGTGGTTTCGAGTCCCTGGTTGTACGTGGCAAGAGTAAGGGTTTTATATTTGAACATTTATTTAACTCAGATAAAAATTGTGACCTCTAGGCGGACCACAAGCTAAAAACACGATTTTTCATACAATCAGGAGCCATAGTTCAAGAAGTTGCGGTCAGATATGTGCGAATATCGGAAGGAACCAAGATTTTTTGTTTTATAAACATACATTTCAAGTTTCACATAAATCGGATAAAAACTGTGACCTCTAGAGTGTCCACAAGCTAAAAACATGATTTTTCGTACAATCAGGGGCAATAATCCATGAAGTTTTCATCCGATACATGCCATTATAGAAAGGTACCGAGATCTTTTGGAGATAAACCTATATTTCAAGTTTCATCAAAATCAGATAAAAATTGTGACCTGCAGAGTGTCCACAAACAAATATTGGACAGACGGATGGACAGGGTCGACAACATAATACGTCCACATGAAAATGTGGGCATATAAAAAGTAGTTCCTTTTTAATTGACCAATCAAATTCATGTAATGCAATATAAGGAGATATCACTCAGTGATTATGAAAGTTGTCACAAAAGCGATATCTACTGTAGAATGTGATAATGGGTGATAAATGATGTTATGTTGAAATAAATGTTGTTACAGTTGAAATAATGATGTTACAGGTTAAAATAAAGGATGTTACACACCAGGGATGGGATTTTGCCCGTATTTTCCAAACGCCCAAAATTGTCCGACCGGGAATATGCCCAATCGGACATCAAGACATGGTGAATAATATTCAAAATTCCAAAATTAATATAATGTACTGGGTGTTTGACACCACTCAACCCAATTATCGTTGTTAATTGGCTAGATTGGTTAGGTAATTAAGTGAACAACATATTTATCGTGTATATCGTCTATACACCTACCTTAATTAACTAATTAATCTGCCTTGATTGGCTGACTTAATCCTTTGTTGGACAATTCATCAATACAATCCTGACAGAAGTCATTGCTTATCCTTTGTCAGACTATATATCAATCCAATAAGTGTGATTATAAACTTAATCTACGTGATTAACCCATGATTTCTTCATTGTGGGACGTTTCAATCTCCTTGATATCGGCCGACAACACGTAGGAATCAGTCATATGTTACATATCCTAATAGTATATAACACACCAAATCAATAAACATTGTATCCGATAACTTGTCTGATATTTCTTCGGTGGAAGCCGAAGTTAAATAAAGCTATTTCACACACACGCATATCCGATAAATACTAGATTGTTTCTGATTGCATGTGGCGGTTATAAGTACAATAACTGAAATGAAAGTAGAAATCTTGCGAGACAGGTGAAATTAAGAGATGTAAACGTGCCGAATCTCACACATCTAAAGATTATATTTTGTTGGCATATTCTCAGATTTATGATCATTTTTTGAATGGGGTTTATGTTTTTAAATAAATAAATAAACATGCTAAGAAATGTTGACAAATATTTTGATTGGAATAATGTAAGTAGTTGACTGTTTTAGACGATAGCGTGTGCTAGAGTCGATTGCGATTATTTAGCAGATGTCACTCGCTCATTGTGGTAGAGCGACGGTTACTGCCAAATAAATTTCGGGATGTCATGTTTTTAAACTTCCGTATGTAAGTCGAAACGGAGTATAAGACAAATGCCGGACTTCCGCTGAAAATGTATCGACTTATACCCCGAAAAATACAGTAATTTTGGAAGAGTTTGAAACAGGTATAGGTCGGCACGCTTTCAATCTATCCTATTACGAGAACAGGTAATTTTTTAGGAATATTACTGGCATAAATTTGAATGGGAATTAAATATGAAAATTAACAAGGTGCACCTACTTTTTATTACGTATGAATTTCAATACTTTGTTGACACATGATTTTTAATTGAGGTCTGAAAAACGCCTGCTTAAAAAACGATAAGAGTTACACCCCTTTATTTTTGCCCAAAAATGTCCGACAAGAAAAATTTTGAAATCCCATCACTGTTACTAGTGTTACATACCATGGCGAGAATTTAGTGGAGTAATCCGAACCAATCATACAATTCCTTGTTTCTTTATAATGAGCAACTTTATCTGTCTGCCATAAATAATAATCTATCCTTTCTAAACCTGTAGATTCACCACCTTTATAAGGAAAGGCGGTACGACTGTCTGCATGAACACCTAAATGAAGAAAAATATAATCTAAAAAAATTGAATCTATATTTCCTTAATAAAATTCTACAATCGGTTTACGAAACAAAAGGAGTATTACAAACCTCAATGTTTGGATTTTGTGTATTTTTTATAATTACCAACAAATTAATAATTCATAAGAGAATTCATCATGAAGTATAGGGTACTTAGTTATACACACTAGAGACTCCTAGATCTTCAGAAGTTGGTATATTTCCTTCCTCTATACCAGACGGTAAAGGTTTAAGTTCTCTTGGTGTTGATATAACAGATCTCACAGGTACATTAGACTCAACTACCTTTCTAAACTGAGTATATATATCTGGTAATCTACAAGTTTACAAAATACATATATTACACACTAGCAAACCAAATCTCATGTTAAAAACAGAATTAATTTAAATGAGTTTTAAAATACAAGAGACCATTTCACCACACAAACATATACAAAACTTAAATTGTAGAAAAGTTTATGCGAACCGAATTGATAGATATAGTATACTGTTACGCCTTTGTACGAAATTATGTCAAAGTTTTTAATGCATATTATTCCCCTTTGTACGAAATGATGTCCAAGTTTTTAATGCATATTATTCATCAAGAAAAGACTCTTTTTATGCATTGGCATATTTAATTGTACAATGGCTTTTATTTTACAGGTGGTGATTTCAAGCAAATAGATAAGTGTTTAATCAAATAATTAGCAGTTTGTTCATAGGGAGTAGGATCTGAGCTGTTTGCTCTGATACCTTTCTTCTATTACAAATGCCAACAATTCAAATTAGACAGTTGGGTAGTGAATAAGACAATTATTAAGTACTTACTGTTTATAATGAAATGGTAAGTCATCACGATGATATAAAGTATTTTCCCAAAATGTTTTAACTTTCACTCCACAACTGGACTTGAGAGAAGATTCAACATCTAGTTCTTCTTTCGTAATCTGTTGAAAAAAATCAATGAAACAATAGCACTGAAATACAGTACTCTGATAAGTTAGCAACATTAATATATACTAGGATTAGAAATTAACTGTAAGAAACAAAAATATCATACATTGCATTTATTTGATGAATTCCAAATTTAGAAAAAGAAATGGTGAAGTTTAAATACTTTAAAGAAGTGGTATTTCCAAGTTATTCATAGACACAGGCATGGTTTAGCTTTTACTTTATTCTTATTACCTCTTCAGAATAAACCAGAGAATCTATGGACTCTTTACCAATTTTCTGTATTAAATCAGTTATTACTTCTTCCGGCTTACCAGTTCTTACAATTAATCCACTGAAAAATAACATACAAACATTAGTGATGATGCCTCATCCCAAAATTAACAGATGACATACATGTAATTACTTGCTGATTTATCTTTTATTGATCAATCAAATAGTTGATCACTGTGCTTACCGGTACTGCTTAAACATATCAGAAAAGGCTTATCATCTTCGAAATATAGGGGACAAAAAATGAAATGATGAACACAAAAACATAACTAACACAGAAAACAATTCCCATACCCATTTCAATGTTTCATATTCACGCTTATTATATTACATAATCATATAATAACTATATTAACAAATTCTCAGATTTATCAATGTAATCTCACCATCTTTCATTTTCTTCTGGGTGTCAGTTAATTGTTAGCTTGGATTTCATTACCCTAGCCTAGGACATACAGCATACCGATATAAAGAACTGTCATACAATATGAACATGTATAAGATAAAGCATAATTAAATTTACATTGCACAATTCTGCTGGTAAATGATCAAAGCTGGGTAGACTAAAACACAAGGATAAAGTGTCTCTTATTTAAGGACACCCAGCTATAGACAGCAAGCGCACAGGTTGAATGGGCAATGGTCAGGTTATATTGTGTTATCTATCGTGAGCTGTTACCTCTACCATAACCTAAATTACTTACCTGCCCCTAGATTTAAGTATTTGTCTTAAATCTTGAATACACTCTAATAAAAATTTCAGACGATGAGGTCCTGTTTTAGGAAAACCAAAATGGTATGTTCCACTGTAATGCCTTGGATCAAAACAGTAGATTGGCAAAACCTGACTTCCATTTTTGAATGCCCATAGCAATGCCTGTAAAGACAATAACAGGATTATACTAAAACACAGAAAACCATGTATGTCAGGTCTATTGGAGTATAAATGAATGGAATTGATCCCCTCTCTCTTACAGTACATTTTAATCATAGACAAAGTACAATTTTGAAACACTTTTATCAGTTTATCATCTCTTTACATCTAAGCCTATAACCATCTACCAATACAAAAGTTCAGTTAATTCTCTCGTATTCATCAAATACAATAATGTTATCCAACGTAAGTTTCATTTAAACCAATTGCTATAAATACAAGTAGGCCTAGAGTCCTATAAGTTGCATATATTGGCACTGGCTCACCACATGTAGCAAATAGCCCCAGAATTGACTTACCACATGTGGCAATTAGCCCCAGCCATTCCTTTATGTTATGTAGGCCTACACGCCAATGTGTACATAGGTCCATCGGTTTTACGTCCTATCCGAATGACTAGACACTGTCCTACTCCTAGGTCAGGCCCTCTAGCTTGGGCATGGTATTCTTACTATTATTCTAGAAATAAGAAGAGTTTGATACATGTACCACCTTCTCATTTGTATTACCGGAACCCAGCGGGCCATAAAAAAAGATCATAACAAAATTACTGTCGTCGAATCAATGAAATATATGGTCTTGAAATAGGCCTATCGGCGTACGGCTGAAAAAAAAACAACACTTGGTTGGTGTTCCGTGCAGTTCAAGTTGTATTTACGTACGACAACAATTTTGTGATCAAACCATAGATAATACCGTATTATCTATGATCAAACAAAAAGAATTCACCTCGTTGTCGTGGAGTCTCAGATCATTTCGGAGCATGCAAATTATAGTTTTTCCTGTCATATCTCATTCGTTGTCTTGCATTCACTCTCAGTCAAAAGTCAAACGTGTTACTGTTATGTAAGCGTGAATTCTATTTTTGGTCACGAACTTTGATATACTTTGTGACAACGCATGCGCAAAAGTTTGACTTCCGTTTGTGCATTGCAAAGAGGAAAGCATAATGACAAATTATTGCAAGAAACTTGTTTATTTAGGGAAACAGTCTCAGAATTTTATACAACAGAGATTAATTTTACCTGGTCTAACACTCAACAGATCAATTTCATTTACAACAGTTAAACAGCTGAAAGAAAGTAAGGATTCGAGATACCGTCATGAGCTTTAAATAAAGTAGCTCAGTCTTTATCTAACTCAATATCATCCAAAATTTTCAACATTGAAAACACAAATTATTTGTCAATTTAAATCAACATTGATGCTGTGATCTTACCGAAAAAAGATGGGCTTCTGATATCCAATATTTAAGACAAAATAAACATTTTACCATTGGTACACGAATCGTGTACCATAATGCGTTTCAGCCCCAGTTCTAGCAAGAGACTCGAGGAACGAGGCTAGACATATTCCACCAAACCAAACGGCGTATGTAGACTGGAATAACCAGGCGCTAGAAATTTGCATTCGATTGAGACTGCTGGCTTATTTCGCGGAACATAACTGATTTGAAATTAGAGTAAAAACAGAAACAATTGAATGTATATCAGTTTATATACATTCATATTACAGTATTATATGAGTTGCGACCCACTTGTGTCAATTTCTAGGTCCCAAATGTTAGCGATTTAGCTCCTTTAAGTTTTAAAACTCTTCGTCTCTTCCTCCCCTCCAACTCACATCCACCCATTCCATATGTGTTTCTAACCATTTATGATGTAACAGCTATCATTATCACCAGTCATTAACCCGTTAACTGCGTAGGGCATTATATAACGTCCTGGACAACTGCCACTCACCGTGTGTAAGACGTAATATAACGTCCTGGAGGTATTTTCCCCAACCTATTCTTCGAATACGATCGCAGCATGTGTAAGACGTTATATTACGCCTGGCCAAGGAAATCTAATTGAAATTTGAAGGGAGACAACTCTATTTACCGTTAGTTTTAATTTGGTTTCAGACTACCAAATTTTGTATTCAGGAATGAAAAGGTCCAATATGACGTTTTTCGTCAAATTAATTACGCAATAGGGGGTAGTTAACGTTGTTAAGACATAAAATATTATTAGCTTCATACTCACATGGACAAGTAGCCACGTATACTGATATCTACATATACACTTTAGTTTCAAATTATCTCTTCAATCAGTCAGTCTTGATAATAGGCAGGCCTATTAATTATTATATATATAAAGGGTTGAATAGAAAAGTTCTTCTGGAAGACAATTTAATAAAGTCTATTCAATCATAGGAATATTGCCTGTTGCAATAGAAATGGACTTTACTGTCTGAAATCTCAAACTGTTCAGGACTGTCCTTTCTGCAATAAGGTGCAATGATATGCACCCATCTCTATTCTAAATCTACTATTTTGAAGTCCTTATCATCTCTTTTTCATCATAATTCATTTTTGATCACCAAAAGGAATTATCTCTTGCTTCATCTGATACAAATTTATATTAAGTCAGTTCACTATTTCATGTAGAATTTTTCGATTCAAAATCATAAACAAGAGATTGCATGCTGCACAGGTGCTATTAATTGTAATGGCAGACAAATTTGTTAATGTTTTTATATATTAAACTTCTACTTGAAAATAGTGTTGTATTGTTATAAACTTGTGTCAGATAAGGCTAGAAGTGATTCCTTTTTTGGCGATGCATAAAGAAAAATTACAGGGATAAATAGAAGATAAAGTCTTCAAAAAAGCCTTAGAATAGAGTAGGAGATTGAGTGGTATTTTCATAAATTTCTTATTGCAGTTTAATAAGAATGGACAGGAACGGTTAAAGGACTTCATCTGTTCAGAGACTGCAACAAAGAGAACTAAAGTCAAAGTTATGTATCCTTGCAACCAAATTTTTTTTTTATTCTGAAACTGAGAAGTAACAACTCTTATGCCTTTATCTTGAAAGTTTTTGTCTTTTCTTTCAGTTAGAGAAGAGAAAAAGGACAATATAACAACAGTACGTACCATCTTTGTCTCATAGTCTAATAAGAGCAAGTTTAATGATAACTATATGGTCAATTTTTATATGCCCACATAGAAATGTGGTCGTATATTGTCATTTGTCGTCGCCTCCTTTCGTTTGTCATCCACAATTTCTAGAGGTTATGGTACATTTTTTATTCGATCTTTTTAAAATTTATATATTTTGTTAAAATTAGTGAGACAAAGAAGCCTATTGAATTTCATCAATTTCCGAATAAATGTATGAAATTTGTATGCATTATTCAAATTTGTGAAATGAAGATGCTTATAATTGAATTTCAACAAATTCCCATAACCACCCCAATAGTTATCATCCAATCTGTATGAAATTGATATTATATAGTGTCTTTACCTAGAAAAGAATAAATATGTGACAACCCTTGTCGATTGCTTAGACAATTTAGCTGCCATGGGCATATGTTTTGTTGCCTGGCAATTCAATCTATCTTTTATTAGATAATGTCAATCTGTATAAAAAAACAGAAAATTGGTTTGTTTGCTTTAGGAGTCCAGACTATTGAACTTTTGAAATAACTTCATATGAAATATTTTACAAGAAATTTAATGTAATGGTGCAATTATTTATTTTGTACTTGATGCAGTATTAAAGGGACAATAACACTCTTGCTGGCTTGAAAGCTCCAGAAAATAAATAATATCTCTATCTAAATACTAGATGTTTAGGTGTCCAACCTGTTGTGTAAATTATCCATTACGTCCTATTTTACTTGTTCAGAGGGTTCGAAAATATTTTTAAATCGAAGTTTCATTTGAAAAGGTTTACGTTAGAGGTTTCAAACCATTATGTTGAATTTTTCAAAATTTTTAAATAAGGTGTGTTAAGATGAAATTTGTATCATCAATTAATTGAAATATTCTAATATAGTACAATTTGTTGACCAGAATAAAGATTAGGACATATTCAGTTACAACAAGAGTGGTATTGAGCCTTTAATGATTATTGATAATTTTGTCCACGATGATACAGTAAGGATCCCATGAGGTCCAAGGGAGAAAACTCTATTTTGCAAGCTTGGGTCTACATCCTAGAGATGTCCTATCTTGAAGGAAAGCATGTTTATAATAACACTATTTAGTAATGTTACAGTTGAACAAAGTGAAATTCCTGTGTTCAATTTAAAAAGCCCTTCTCGTAAGAAACTAAAGAATTTAAAGTTTTTAATTAACAACTTGAGGTAACAGAGCCGGTTTAGGGTGACCACATTTGCTTGATCATATTGTGGGACATTTCAGAAAAATATATGTTGCTCAAAAACCCTTTTTATTTTCTGCAGAGCAGCGGGCGTTAGAGCTGCTCACCCCGAACGCAATAAGTGTGAGACCGCAATTGCGAGGGGTGGGGGGGGGAGGGGTGTCCCGAAATGCGGAATGGGTGTTCACCCTTAGCTAGTTCAATTTAAAACAACAAGCCGGTTTCATTTATATCATTTTAAACTGAAGGCTTTAGATTTATTGTGTTTATTAATATTTACAGATTGAAGGAGTAGAAATAGAATCTAAACGTACAAACAAGTTATTGCCATCATTACATAAAGGTGCATGTCCACTTTGTCAGTTGAATTTGGATGTTAAATATACAGTAAGTGAACTCATTTTTAAATGTCCAAGTTTTGTATTGTCTCTGTTCAAGAACTTTGTGAACACTCTACAGATTAAGGGTTTTGAGATTATTTTACATTGCAACACACTATTTGCCTCCCTTCACAAAGTTGTACATAATATTTGCATTGCCTTGCAGTGGTATGTTCTTTATTTCACTGTGATCAATGACACTGCACCCCATTTATTATTATTTTTCTGAAAGCACAGAATAGGGATAAGGAGTTAAAACATCTTGTCGACACAATACTCGTAATCGGATCATTTAGTCACTAAAATAACTGTTTCTATGATGATGTGTATTGTGAGAGAGACCAATTTTGCTCTTAAAACTAAGCACCGATGTCAATGTGAAAAGTTTCAGTATTGTTTTAATGGTTTACTATATTTTCCAGGATGTTTTGATATTAAGTCAGTTTGTAAGTCCAGATGGGCGGGTACTACCTAGAACGGTGACAAATTTATGTGGTTATCAACATAAAAAGGTAGAGGATCTAGTCAGGCGAGCTAAAGATGCAGGCAAGTACCATATTTTTCGATGTATTGAGCCCACTTTTTTCAAGCAAATTCAGGCTTTTCCCATGTCGACACCGAAGTCTGAAGTTCAATAACTGCCCTAGAATCAACACATGTCGACCGGGTGACGCTACCTTAAAAGTTTATGATATATTATCACTCAAATTAAATACAATACTGTTCCCTTTCGTGTCCATTTATATTTGTCAATAATGTTTTAGATATGTTTAAAATGCGTCCATATTTGTCAATAACTTTTTAGATACGGTTAAAAAATGTCAATACTTATCGCCCATATTTCTGTTATTTCGTTCATAAAAAAAGATGTCGACATTTTCTGCTATTCCATGTACATTATACCATTTGTCATAACCAGCAAACCAAACACCATCGGCCGATGTGGTTCTCCCTTGTCTGTGATGCAGGACGGAGGGGCTGACAAGGAAAGCTGTCTAGTCATTCGGATGGGACGAAAAACCGAGGTCCCGTGTACACATTGGCGTGCACGTAAAAGATCCCTTGGCAGTTGGAATTCGATATAAGAGTAGGCTGTAGTGCCGCTGTCCGGGCAAAATTTCCCTCATAGCACACTGTATGGCGTATGCCCGTCTTCATTAGCCCAGGTTAGGAGCAGAACAGTAGGACGTTAAACTCCATTTCATCTCATTTCATTTCCATCGGCCGATAGCCGTTCAACTTTAAAATATGCCCCCAATTTACAATGTAATTCCGTTACCATACTTATCGAAACGTTTCAATCATTTCTTGATTGCCAAATATTGTAAGTTAGTGTTTTCAAATTTTCTAATTACTAATTGCACAGATATAAGAAAGGTAAGAATCAGATATTTCATTATGTGTTTTTCTTGGAACAGCGGTAACAGAATTACAAATTTAAGCGGTAACGGAATTACGAATATCAGAATATCATTATTTCTATTTTGCTAATAACAAAATTATATATAATTTAGAGGATAAACTTAAAAGCAACACTTTATTTAAAAATTAAACAACATTTATTTTCGGTAAAAATGTCTGACAAAAATTTTTTTGAAATCCCATCACTGGGATAAACTTAAAAGCAACACTTTATTTAAAAATTATACAACATTAGACCCATTTATGCCAACTCTTTTCAGTAAAGCAAACCACTAATCCTTTTTCTGAACACAAATTGCAAAAAGTGACTAACAACTGTACCAAAATTAAAGTTATCCTATTGATCACCCATGTCTAAGCAAGGTGTGGTTTCAATGTGTATTACATTGATATATATATCATATTGATATCTTTATTCAACATTGCTGAGACTCCAGTTCTTTCATGCTGTCAGAATCTGACAGCTTATTTTTGTTAATGATTTGATTATACTAACATAGTAGTACCATTTTCATGCTTTAACAACAAGGAAACGGAAACTACATTTAGGGCTAATTAGCTATGAAAAACAGCTTAATGATTTATAGCTTTTGCTTTTTTTGTTATCAAATCTCTAAAATAGTTAAATGTCAAAGGCATTTTCTATAAAATAAATTAACATAATGTCCGCTGGTTCTACCATATGATCTCGAAGCCCTATAACTAACCTCACCAAGTTGGACTGTGTCACTGAAATTGTCTAATCTAAATGCCGTTTTGTCTTGACATGTGAAAAATAATTTTGTTAAATTGTTTATAAAAACCGAATATAGTGATAAAATATTTCTGTGAACAGTATAATTGACTTGACTATAACAAAATACAAGAGCAGCAGTGGAAAAAAATAATCTTTATTGATATAGGTCGTTTTGTACAGAAAAAATGCTTGGAAGGTGATAAAAAAATTGTTATATACTCGATTTTTTCTCTTTCCATACAGAAAAACGTACTTGCAATTAATTCTGCTTTGGCTTGCCATACTAGTATTTCATAATCTTGCTTTATAAACTAAACCGTTATTTGTATCAAGTTACTTATTGGATTTACAATTATGTGTATTTTATGGCCATACTTTAGATTTACTCAATTCATAATTATAACCATTGTTGAAATATTCTCAAAATTGGTTAATTATATCAACTTTCTTTTTTCTAAATATTTTATGTTGATAAACCTGTGATATAATACTTTTATTTAGAAATTCCGTTACCATGACATGTAATTCCGTTACCAAAGAAAATAATCACTTGTCACCAAATTATCGGACAGGTTGCAATATGGATGAGCTGAAATATTCCGCAGAACATTACTTTATGTCCTATTTTTAAGAAATGTAGATCTCTCTGTATAAATCACAGAGTTTCTTAAATAACTACAACCAACTAAATGAAAGGTTTTTGACTTGTAATTCCCGTACCATTGGGTTCACCTACACAGAAACCTTATACATTCATGCAGCAAATCAGTGTCCATTTTTTAGGGATGATATGCCTGTTAGCTCTCACTCTGTAAATGTCAGTACCATTGCAATGAGTTTCAATTGAACATGATTTATGATTAATGCTGAACACTAACAATCTTGAACTCTAAATAAAGCTTCTTTTTTTTTCTAGGTTTATTAGCCCATTTTCAAGCAGATGGTGAAGATGGGAAAAAGCCAGCATTGAGATCAAATTATAAATGGAAAAAATATAACATACATTTTGTGAATGAGAAAAAATATTCTCATTATTAGATAACTATTTATATAAAATTATAATAGCACGAAAAAAGACTGTAGTACTGATCAGAATAAAGTGTTGTGATCTTTTAAAAAGAATCCCACCATCGTTTTTTAATTGACCAATTGCGGGGGGCAGACATAGCCACGTTCCTTGACCTTATGAGTAAAGGGAGATGATCAAATATAGCCTCTTTGTTATTATGTAATCAAGTTATCTTCCAAACATTGTTTGCAGGGGAAGGGAGGAGTGCATAATTTAAATATAGCCTCTTTGTTATTATGTCATCAAGATATCTTCCAAACATTGTTTGCAGGGGAAGGGAGGAGTGCATAATTTAAATCTATGGCAATTTTGGCTGTTACTGTGCAAAATTCCATCCACGATTTCCCTTAGTTTTACCCTAGCATTAAAAAATCAGACCAGCAAATCAAATTACAACCATTTCCCTTTTGGGATTATGAGACATACCATGTGACTTATCAAGATATCGTCCATACATTTTTTTCTGAATTGGAAGACTTTCCAAATACATAAGTATATAACAGTGACTCACTCGATTCGATAATAATAAGGACTTAACGCAGTTGTCCAAGATCTTGAAGGGTGTCTGTTGATGAAATTTGCATACTTAAGCTAAAGTCAAATATATAAAGCAAAGTAACAACCTATTTACCTTGTCTGAAAATTTCAGATCCAAATAAACAAATCTGCTCAATAGGATTATATAAATCAATCAATTGTCGATTCTTGTTTTATAAGTAATCTGATACGCGTATGTGACAAACTTGCTATGACAAGCTTACACACTACTGAATTACTGAAGCTGTCAGTTTGAAAACTGAATATTTTCTAATATTTTTATTACTTCAAAAACTTTTTTCAGAGTTTCAGACAGTTGAATTGGGTTAGAATAAACATTTCTAAGCGCCTCTCACACAGAAGTAACAAGTTTACCCTGCACTTAAACAATAGGTATTCAGATTTTCCAAGAATATTTGTATGTCAATGATCACAATTTAAAAGTTTTCAAAAATAATGTGTATAAGTTAACAAAAATAAAATGCCCAAGAAGATAAAGTATATTTTATTTATTTTACTACAATAAAGTTTGGATCTTTCTGAATGTATGATAAATTACACATAAAACAGATTATGATAGAGCAACATGACAAAACAGGACACTTGGGTTTATAAAATGACAGGATTTGTGGATGAGTCAACTTCCGAGTTTCTTACTTTTAATGCTTGTTTTACACATAATGTACTTTTATTACTGAATTATGAAGACAATAGATAAATATCATAAATTAATATTTTATATATATATATTATTTACATGAAATTCCCTTTGATTAAAACTTTACCAATCATTTTTAAAACAGAAATATATCTTATAACATGAACGGTAAATCCAAATTTTTCTCTCCAGTTCCAAAATAAACTGATCCAAATCTTCTTGATCCTGGAACATGGAAGAATGTGTATCCCTGCCACAATAAACTTCTTAAAGTAACCAAACCACTTCCTCGCTCAAATTGTAAACTCCATGATCCTATAAAAAGTAAACAATAAGATAAAACAGTAAATAATTAATCTAGTGCTAGCTATTAACATGAAAGTGTGTACATGTACTTAAAGTTATTAATGAACGAAAACATTAAATTTAATTGGTACTGTGGAACATCAAGCCTGGAAATAAGGCACTTGTCACAGATTATCAGACCTGTACAATACACCTAATAATGATCATTTTTTCTGGTACTGAATTATCTTTTTCTGTGTTTTTATTGATATGTTTAATACACGGCTGGCACCAAGTTCAAAATGTCTTATGTCAAGTACTAGTTCAGTGCGTGACATTTTGTCAAGTACAAACAGAACCGTTATGTAGGACACAAAGTTTAAAATATAAGTTACTAATTCAGTAATAGTGCCTGATATTTTGTCAAGTACAACTAAAACAGTTAAATACTTCCATGTTCTTGTAGGTATAACTATATTTTGTCTTAAAAAACTGAAATGGACTATCTCAACTGGATAAACTTACCTCTGGGGATATCCTCTTCAACACAATCCATAAAGTCAATGGCTTTATCTAAATTGGCTCTCTCTAATAATGATTTTTCTATGAGAAGTTTTGGTTCTCTAAAGTGGGTGTAATTACATAATTTGGCTGATTCAGATACAGATAATCCTGTTTGACATAAAAAAAAATTTTTTTTAAAAATCTAAGAGCAAATACGATAGTATATAGACCAGGAACGGAGCCATGGTGTCAATGCTGCCATCTTCGAATTGTGATATATCAAAATCTAAGATGCACAATTGCCTAAGGAACAACTATTCGGTCAGAGTTCTTGAATTGGTGGAGTCTTAGGCTTTTTTCGAAGAACAATGTCACCCAAGAAGAAGAACAACAACAAGATGAGTAGCGCTTGGAGACCTGCTCCTGGCCCAAGAATAACCACTATGGAGGTTTGCAAGCTAGTTGATAGAGTTATAGTTTACGACCTGACATTAGTAATAAACAATTGCTATAAGTTTATACATGACTCGAGTTTCCCTAAAAAAGTAAATATACAGTAATTAGTGCTGTACTTAAGCGCAACAGATCAAGCATATTGCTTCCACAATTTTGAAAGTAGCTTCAATCTATTGGTTATTATAACTTGCAAGGATGTTTTATATCAATAAATTATACAATCAGTCATATTTACCTTCAAAACTTCTGTTTGATATAACCGTACCAGTGGGTGTTTTAACATATGCTGCCCTAGGTACTATTCTAACATCCTCATCAATATCTGCTACAACTGATGCTAATCTGTTTTCTTCCTTTATCGTTACCTACAAAATAATTTAATACACTATGATGGCATGGTATCTTTATAAAACAAGAACAATATTCACAGAAATTCTAGTCAAATGTTAGCAAACCATCAAATTCCAAAACATGTTGGACAATACCATTGGTTCAGGAAAACTACTCCATATTTTGTGTTATGTTGAAAATGAAAATATGGATCAAAACTGATGTGACTGGAAATAGATCACAATTGACACAATCAATGCATAAGTTTTACGGTAATTGTTTCATGCATTACAACTTCACCCTTGAAACCTAAGTGACCATTTTTGACTTTGTAGATGGTTACAGTGAAATCTAATTATCACAACAAGGTCTATTTAAGCTGAAAAATACTGTTTACTTTTTCAATACATGTGACTGAAAAATATTAAAAACATACTGTTTCTTCTTCTTCAGTTGCATCATCGCCTTCACCAATTTTCTTAACTTCGACATGTTCATATTCATATGATGGATCACCTGTGAATCTTCCTTTAGCTAGTTTACTAACATCTCTCATACTCTTTGTTGCTGGCGGCAGTAAACCCCAATGGATACAATCTTTACTGAAAAATATATAAAATGAGTCCTAATTAGAAAATGGTCTTACGAGTTTTATTGTATGATGTATTAAAAATAATCAAATTAATGATTCCTGTAATGTCTAAAAATCAGACAATTTCTATTGTTAAAAAATCGCATTATAACTTACAAATGTTGATTTTAAGGTACCGGTAGCTATTAGATTTACTTCCCAATCTCTATTCTTCAAGCTAAATCTCTTTCAAAAAGGGCACTAAAATTGCACACAGTACCTTTTTGTGGACATATGATTTGGAAGAACTTATAATGTGATGGGCTCCTGATATCCAATATTTAAGACAAAATAAACATTTTACCATTGGTACACGAATCGTATAGATGTGTACCAGAATGCATTTCAGCGCCATTTGTAACAAGGGACTCGAAGAATGAGGTTAGACATATTCCACAAGTCATGTCAAACGGTGACGTCATATTCTTATCTGGAGAGCATGCGCAAAAAATACCACCGGGGTAGACTGAAATAACCAGAAACTAGAGATTGTCATTCGATTGAGACTTCTCGCATATTTCGCTGAACATAACTGATTTGAAATAAGAGTAAAAATGGAAACGATTGAATGTAAATTAGTTTATATACATTCATATTACATTATTATATGTGTTGCAAAGCAACCAAAATATTAGCCGTGATTTAACTCTTTTAAAGTTTAAGTTCACTAGAATCTACCTTAAAGGGACAATAACACTCTTGCTGGCTTGATAGCTCCAGAAAATAAAAAATAGCCTTATTCTAAGTACTAGATGTGTTAGTGTCCTACCTGTTGTGTAAATTATCCATTAAATCCTATTTTACTTGTCCAAAGGGTTCAAAAATATATTTAAATCCAAGTAACATTTGAAAAGCTTTTACATCAGGCTTTTCAAATCATTTAGTTGAATTTTTCCAATTTTTTAAATTAGGTGTGTTAAGATGAAATTTGTATCATCAATTAATTTGAATATTGTAAAATAGTACAATTTGTTGACCAGAATAAAGATTGGGACATATTATTCAGTTAACCGAATGCACCGGTAATCAATAAATCTAGTAGTAAGAAGTGCAAATAAAATAATATTCCAACGAACCTGTAAAATGTCTTTCTGGCATCAAATTCATTTTTACCAACACCCTGTGCTAGAAAATAATCATCTTTTACTCCTGAAATCTTTCCCCAAAAATAAACCGTGTTGAATTTGTTTTCATTTTGCAGTATGATAAGTGACGTCTGAAGTGCTGCCTTTTGTTCTGGACTAAGAATAATTCCACTGCTTCCGACATAGTCAATATTTAGGTGTAAACCGTCGCCTTCCATTATGCGTGTTTACTTAAGAATAGTTAATAGCAATAATTCTCTGATTCGTACAGAAAGGAGAAATACTTATCAGATCTTACTACAGTTGTTGCTATTGTCAACGTTGCCATGGTTTACGCGCATGTTTGGTTGTTGTTTCCGGATAATATACTATTTACTTCCGGTTTCTATACCCGATTAACTCACTCTATAGATTTAGGCACGAGTAATTCATATTTCTAACTTAACCGTTTCATCATATCAAATCGAAAACTTCACGACAGACATTTCAGTTAGTGTTTGATCTGGACCGTAAAACACGGTAGTGTTATCAAGATTAATCATTTTTTAAGAAAATTGATAAATCAGAGCCGACCAGTGCTTTAAATTAACAGAAATTTACTATATTATTCACTTTATAGTAGGCCTTTACAACTTTCTGATTAATATTCTATCTGTCTCTTCTTAAAGCATTTGTTTCAATTTGATTTGTACTTGAATCGTGTTTCTTGCGTATCTAACTGTAATAATTATGTGATTATATGAAATAGTTTTTATTTCAGGCCAGTTTACATAACGACCTATGAAACCTTTTGATTTTTCAGAAATTTTGGCATTATTATTGGCACCATGAAAAAAACCCTCCCATTGTATGGAGCAGTAGCTTAGATATTTGCATGCCAAAAATCGTTTAATTCGCATCAGAGCCCTTATTCACGAAAACTTAAACTAAGATACAATCGAAATTTTAAGAAATACTGCAATCGATTGGCTGACCAGTAAAATCAATTTGCATATATCCAATTTGCATATTGGTCAGCCAATCGAATTGCAGTATTTCTTAAAATTTCGATTGTATCTTAGTTTAAGTTTTCGTGAATAAGGGCCCTGACTAGACTGAGATTTTGTTAGATTTATGACGAAAATTTATCATTTTTAAGCTGATTTCAAAATTTAATGTCTTTAAAACTATGAGAGATATGTGCCCAAACTATGACTTGAATCGCAGCTTCAGATGTCTATTTAAAGATCATGCCAAATTTATGCGGAACAGAGTTTGAAAAATAATATAAAACTAATTGCAAAGTTACCATATGCTATTACTGTATCCGCTCCGTCACTGCTGCTTTGGATGGTGTGTAAGAAAAAACAAATAGATATCTTTATTCTGCAAGTTATCATTAAATAATGCACAAAATTATACAGCTTAAAACATCGGTTGAGACGTGTTCGATTGTATTATCTCGAGCGCTCGACATAATATCTAGAGCGTTCGATATCTCGAGCACTCGACTTAGCATTTAATGAATATGGTTAACTATACGGTAATACAGATCCAAACAGTGTGCGTATGAAAATATCAATATTTTACAAGCAGAATGTTTTTATGCTGTATTCGGAATTGAAATAAATAAACATGTGTTAGGGCGCTGTATTTTAGTAATTAAAACCTCTGAAACTGTAACATGTACCTCTTGGATTTGGGACATCAGATTTAGTCCATTGCTTACCCTTAAATTAAAACTGACCAAACACTAACAATATTTGAGGAAAACAATTTTTCGGGCGCGGGGGTGCGTGTAATTTTTATTATTATTATTTTTTTGGGTTTTTTTTGTTTACTATAGCTATGCTTATTATCATGCAAACATAGAACACAATGAATCGACGCTGGCCGGGTGTAATGCTTTTCTAACGTTTTGCACTGTTGTAAACACTTGTCTCGGTCACCCAGAACCCCTTAATCTTCAACGTATACTCTATATTCGTAGAATATTTGTCTGGATGATAGAGACTATGTAAACACTATAGTCACCTACTTATGGTGTTTATGTCTGTAATGCGTATTACGTGAGATAAACAATAAAATAAATCTCACTGCATTTTATTTCCATTACAACAAAATCCATTACTAATATTAACAGTAGGGGGGATTTCCAACAGTCCATCAGCCATATACTGCAATGCATTTGTTTTTGTTTTATTTCTGTATATACTTTCCCAAGAGCAAAACAGACAAGTTTATGGGCCTAATTTCAAAATGTTGTTTAAATGTTTTTTATTTTGTCACTATTATTATTTTAACGGAACAAGATACTCAATTTGTCTTGCACTTCGAAATTTGAGTGTGACTTGACTTGTTTTCCATAAAATGTAATATGGCCTGAACACGTAGTAACTAGTATGTTGTAGAATAAATGCTCAAAAGATCTTCAGTTTTGTACCCTGTGTGTTATCTACCTTTCATAGTAATGGATCCCGACGTAAGCATTATTTATTGTGTCCGCCATTCACAGTTTCGTTCAAGGGATCGGATAGCAGTGTGTCTTGATAAAGAATATAACAGAAAGTCTTTGCCACAAAAATTAGATGAAGCCATGGAGGATGTATGGAAGCAAAGAGTGGACACAAATCCTAAATTGTACAATGGTACCAAATTTAGACTGGATTCGGTGAAGGAAGAAGATGGAGGGGTCGTTAAGATTAATTTAGGTGTTACCTGCTACAAAGAATATTTAGGAACAAATTGGTCCCAGGAACCAAAACTCTTGCAAGAATACGGGTGGGAAAAATATAAAAACGCCCAGGCTTGTCTTTCAGACCCTCTTGGAGTGGGGTCACTTGTGGTTACTTCTGATAACCAGGTAATATTTTTACACCGAAGTAAATATTGTGGAGAAGCACCAGATTTATGGGATATACCCGGAGGTCATGCGGAACCCGAGGTAAAATAATCTGACATTTACAACTTACAGCAAAACAGTCACAGACCATTTTTATAATTCAATGTTTATCTTTTTGTACTAAGTGTCAGTCAAATTTTTAATAAGATACTATAGGACCAAAAATCAATGTTATATAAGAATACCATACATTATAAAATTTTAAATAATGGATATTAAAGTAGCTAAGTCTCCAACTCAGTATCATCCAAAATCTTCAACATTGAAAAACACAATTTATTTGTCAATTTAAATCAACTTTGATGGTGTGACCTTACCGGTAAAAGATGGGCTTCTGATTTATTATATACTAATATTTGTGACTCTCGTTTGTCTGTCTGTCTGTCTGTTCGGGATTGTCGGCCACACTAGGTCTGGCCCGAGTCTGAAATTTGGGGTATAGGGGTAGCTCGGACCGGGGAGTAACATAGGCCAGGTGGCGTTAGTCTACCACTTTCGGTTTCGGGGTTATGACCCCCGAGCGAAGCCGGGCATTCTTCTAGTATCCTATATTTAAGACAAAATAAACATTACCATTGGTACACGAATCGTGTACCATAATGCGTTTCAACGCCATTTGTAACAAGGGACTCGAAGAACAAGGCTAGACATATTTCACAAGTCATGTCAAACGGTGACCTCATATTCTTATCTGGAGAGCATGCACAATAAATACTATCTATGTAGACTGGATTAACCAGACATTAGAGATTGCCACTCGATTGAGACTTCTGGCGAATTTCGCCGAACATAATTGATTTGTTGCAACCCATTTGTGTCAGTTTCTAGGTCCAAATATTAGCGATTTAGCTCCTTTAAACCCAAATGCGATATTGGATTTAAGTATTGAACTATTAAAATACTGTATATCTCCATGGATAATGTTATATAGTGATAAGTCTAGTTACATAAGTAGTTAATTGTGGTCTGAATCTTAGTTAAGCTTGAAAGAGTTACCTCCCTTTAACTGTCTTTGCCTTTGATTTATAAAAAGAATTATTGATGTTTCTACTTTGTATGAGTGATCTGCCCTTGGGGGAAGAGAATAAACATGTGGATCATTGAATGGTGTTTTCTTTATTGAGAGTTAAAGATTGAGAAATAGTGACACCCCCAGTGGGATTAAACCCACATAACATGGTGGAGATGCCAGATCTTTCCCTGAAGTAACTTTATAGTCATTGAATTTGAGTGGATGCCATGACTTTTCTTTGATTGAATTGGATTTGATTTTTATTTTGTGCCAGCCAAACTCGCCTGGTTTGAGTCAAGCCCAGCTTTAACTTTTCAGGCTGCTTACAGCTTAATTAGGCCTATCACTGTGAATATTCGCATTGTCATTGTGCGAAAAGACAATTATTGTGCCTATTTGTGGTTGCAGTTTGACTTTGTTCAAGAACATTTTTATCATTTTCATTGTGAAATTTTGGTGAGGTATCCTAGTTCGTTTGTAGTATTCCACTTCATTGAATTATTAGCCTAGATCTAGACATGAACACTGCCAAGAATCAGTTAGACCTAATTTAGCCTGTCATGCCTTTTATAAACATTAAAGCAAAGATGCAGTAATATGAATGATGACGAATGAAAATGATTACAAACTTTTGTGTAGATGAGCTCAGATCAGATCTTATTTACAAGCTGAACAATTTCAACTTCCAGTTTTTAAAATCATTGAATGTGTGCTGTGTCCAGTGACATTTGATTCATTTTCAACTCCCTAGCGATTCCTGTTACATGTGCTGTTTCGAAAGGAGTGCAGTGACATTTTCATCCATTTTAGCTTTTATAACAACATTAATTTGATATTCTGTGTTTTATAAAACTATTAATTTAATTTACAGAACTGTTTAGTAATATTTAGTCAATTTGTCCAAAACTATATTGTCAACTCCTTGATATGTAATATTTGTTTTCTTGTAGGAATCAATTGCATGTTACTAATCAAAATTTCTTTTCAGGTTTAAGTTTTATGATTTAAGTGTAGGCCTATTCTTTTATGTTATTTTTTGGCCTAATATTTCTCTTCTTATTATCTGCAATGGAGAAAATGATTGATCGGTTCGATGGGTCTGTTATTGATAGGGATACTGCAAGAGCCCACATTCTTAGCTTTGAGGATTACCTCAACCATCAAGATATTGCTATTGACGATGAAGAATTTGAGCACATATCACAACTGTTTAAGCAATCGCTCAAGGGCAAGGCTCGTCTTTGGATAGAGGACATTGAATTTGATTCTTACGCTAGTTTGAAAGACCAGTTCATTGACAAGTATTCCTCAACTAAAACTAAACTTGGATTGTGTAGCCAATATTCCAATATTCAATATGATTGTTCATTGTCACCTAGTGACAATTTAGATAAAATCAAGAAATTAGCGAATCAGTTAGGTTATAATTTGTCACAAGTTAGGGATAAATTTATATCTATTTTACCAACCAACTGTAAACAGGCTGTTATTATGGCAAGTTCAGATGACACAACTGCACAAGCACTTGCGTTTCAAGCTCAACGCTATTTTGATGTGGGTAGTAATTCATCACCAACTACAGCTGTTAAAGAGGTTTCCTTTAATTTGTCTGAGAATTTGTCCAGTTTACGATTGCAATCCCAGAATTCCCATAGTCCCCAAAGGAGAACCCCAGCACATTCTGATTCCAGCAGAGACAAATCTCATTCACCTTTCCGGGTTCAACGACCTAAAAGTCCCTCAAATTCTAGGCTGCGCAATTCACAGTCACCCTTTAGAAATAACAGTCCAATACGTCAGTCGAGGCGTGTTATATTTTGCGATTATTGCCTCAATCCGGGTCACACATGGAGATCCTGTTTTGCTCGGCAAGATGATCTTATGAGTAGGCGTAGACATTTGTCACACTCTTTCAACCCTACTAGTTATCAGTCACCTTATACGTCAGATTTTCAGTCGCAGCCTTCTGCTGTTGACAGACAGGGTTTTCGACAACCTGGTGGATCATCTAGGCCACAACGCTCAGATCAACGCACACATAGTTCTCGCAAGGATTTTTGAATAGGGGAATATTTGATAATAATGCTCCACAAATATTCCCCCAACTCAATCATCTAGCCAAACATGTTTCAAAGGACATTAACTCGGATGTCATTCTTCAGTTAAGTCCCTTTAATTACTGTAAGGGTAGTTTATCAGATAGAAAATCTGTGCTTATTTTATTTGATAGTGGTGCTTCTAAATCACTTATTTCACAATCCGTTGTTAATTCTTCTCCTTATTTGTCAAGTTTACCTGTACATAAGTTAGAAAAATGTTTGGAATTTCGTATGGGTAATGGTCAAATGTTAAGTTGTTCAACTTTCATGTTTATACAAGTCGTTATTCAAGGTTATTCGTTTCATTTAAAGGTTTATGTTGCCCCACATTTAGTGGGCATTGATCTTATTTTTGGTCAGGATACCTTATCAGAGTTACAAGGTTCCTTACATTTTGAGGATAATGTATTTCGGTGTAAGCCTAAAAGAGTCAACTTTTCCCCAACACACAATGTGTACATTAAGCCAGGTCATACACGCTATGTCGCCTTATATGGTCATGTCCCAGGTCTTTATAGGAATCGTGAGGTCCTTCTTCAGAAGAGATCAGATAACACATGTTCATCGTTTATACTCGCTACTTTACAGCGTAACAGAGCTGTTGTTCCCATATCAAACCCTGGTAGTAAAACTCTTCACCTTAGGCAATCTCATCCTTTGTTCTATTTCAACACAGGTACTGTTTTTGTGTGTGATTCCTCAGATTTTGTTCAACGTGCAGAACAATATTCCCACCTTAAGAAGGATGATCCTTTATTGCAGTTATCAGAAGATGAGATTTTACAACAGCAAATTAACTTGTATGATAATTGTATTTTGTCACCTAATGAGGAGAAAGATTTTCAAAGACAACTATCCCAAAGCAGAGAAGCATTCAGTCTTTATGGTGAGATTGGCCATTGTTCTAACATTGAAGTTGACATTAATGTTAATGACCCTCGTCCATTTTATATTCGTCCATATCATACCACTGAATCAGATAAAGAGGTTATCGATGCTGAACTTGATAAATTAGTAAAATTGGGTATTATCGCCGAGGGTCACCAATCGTACACCTCTCCTGTTTTAATTCTCCCTAAAAAGGGAACTACAGATAAACGTGTTGTAGTTGACTTTCGTCACTTAAATAAGCGCATTAAGAGGTATAACCATCCATTCCCTTTATTATCATCTACCTTGCAAAGAATTGGTCATGCTAAACCCACAGTTATCAGCTGCCTTGACCTTAAGTCTGCTTTCTTTTCTATGCCCCTTTCACAAAATGCTCAACAATACACGGGTATATCGTCCTATCACGGAGGTCGCCACTTTTACTTCAAGCGCTTAACACAAGGCTTAAGTGTATCCCCTGCTATTTTTCAAGCCGAAATTGATAGGATTCTCTCTCAAGTACCTGACAGCCGTCATTACTGTATTGCTCATCACGACGATATCATTGTATTTAGTAAGGATGTCCAGTCACACAGTAGTCACTTACAGGCTGTCTTTCAAGCACTTATTGATAATGGACTGAAGATTTCTCCTCGTAAATGTTCGTTCTTCAGAAATCAAGTTGTGTACATGGGTCATTTAATTAAGATTAATAACGAAGGACTTGTTACCCTCCAACCATTGGCAAATCGTTGCCAGGCAATTCAACATCTTGTTCGTCCTAAGTCTAGTAAAGAAGTTCGCAGGTTTATAGGAGCCGTTAACTATGTCTCAAACTTTCTGCCAAGGCTACAAGAAGTTATGCAGCCCCTTCATCAGATTTCTTCCAAGAGATCTAAATTTTCATGGACCGAAGAACATGAAAAGGCTTTTCAAGATGTAAAATATCTTCTTACTAACCCACCTGTTTTGTACCTCCCGACTGCAAATGGTCCCTTGAGTCTCTATAGCGATACATCTCGATCAGCTACTGGATCGTACATTACACAAATCATAAATGGTAAGGAGCGCATATTGGGTTATTATTCTAAGAAGTTACCTCCGGCATGTAAGAATTACAGTGTTACCGAGTTGGAAATGTTTGGTCTTCTCATAAACATCACAAATTTCCAGTACTTACTCAAAGGAGTTGAGTTTACTGCTTATGTTGACCACTCTGCAATAGTTCAACTTCTGTACTCCAAGAAAGAGCCTTGTTCTCAACGTCTCACTAAGTTAATTGTCAAACTATCCCAATATTCATTCAAAATCTTCTATAAAAAGGGAACTGAATTAGTCTTAGCAGATTTCTTATCAAGGAGTTCAACTGATACAGACGATGAAATTGATCAAGTTGTGCCCACTGCTTTTACCCTTTCTGAGCTCGCATTTCCTGTTACTCAGTCAGCAAGTCGCCCGGTTACACGGCAATATGCAAAACAGAAGCAAATCGCCATTCCCGAACTCTTCCCCAAACCTTCCACACGCACTACTACCGTTAGTCAACCAACTTCTAGTACTTCAACTGAAATCCCCTCTTCCATTGTGTCTTCCAATAATATCTCTTCACAGTCAAGGAATTCTAGAACTCACCAGTCAAAATCTCAACAGAACTCTTCCATTCCCCTTCCCTATATACGCCAACCAAGCCAGAATGCTGTCCCACCTAAACCACCACCAGTTCTCGCCGACACACAAGTATCTTCCTCTAATGATTCTATACCTGAATCTCGTCTGGTCGATAAATCAGTAGACATTGATATAGATGGTGATACTCCCATTGATCTCTGTATTCCTCCCAAACCCCTCATCCACAATTGTGAACGGCTGGTCACTAATCATTTCCCAAGACAAGCTGAATTGGATAAGTTGTACAATGTTATTAAGCGTAAAATCATCAGAGACTATAATTTGACATTCGATCAAAATAAGCTTCGGCTTGAACAAGCGTCTTCTCCCCAATTTAAGCCTATCTATGATTATTTGTCCCACAATATATTGCCCAGTGATCGCAAAGCTGCGAAACGTCTCAAACTCCAAGCAGAAGAGTACATTTTAGCAGAGCATATTTTATTTCGTCTTCTCCTACCCAAGGATGATCGCTTTACTCTTCAACTTGTCATTCCTGAGTCAATGTGCACAAATTTGATACATCAGTATCATGATAGCCAGTTGTGTAATCATCAGGGAATAGTTCGGACTTATTTGACTATGCGAAAGCTCTTCTACTTTCCCAACATGTTTCAGAGGATCGCACAGTACATTAATACATTTTCTACTTGCCAGAAATTCAAACCCAAGACAGATAAAACCAGAACATTTCATCCTAGGATACCTGAAGAATACAATGTTTTTGACAAACTTAGTATTGATTTCAAAAGCATGCCTGCATCCATCTCTGGTTTTAAGCATCTTCTAGTTATATGTGATGAGATTACTCGCTTCATCATTTGCGTCCCAACTAAGTCAGTTGACGCCGAAACAGTGTGTGAAGCTTTAATCCAGAAAGTAGTCTGTCTCTTTGGTCCCCCATCTGTCATAGTAACAGATGCAGCTGCAAGTTTCATCGGAAAATTGGTTACCTCTCTTTGTACAACACTTGGTATTAGTCAAAAAGTAATTAGTGTTGCAAATCATGGTAGTCTTCTGGCAGAACGCCACATTAGATCAATCTCTGATTTTCTCAAGGTTAACTTAAATCAGTATGGAACTGATTGGGTCAGATATGTGTCTCCCTGTTGCTATGCTTACAATTCTTTTGTTTCACCACAGTTAGGTGACTTTTGCCCTTACGAGTTGGTATTTGGTAAGAAGCCCAAAAACTTACCCATCTTCGTTGGCAATTCGATGGAGTTTGTCGTTCATATTTCGAGTATGTTTCCCATTTAAAGGACAAGTTTGATCATATTTCTAAGACTATGCTTGAATTACAAAGATGTCAACAGGAATCTCAGAATATCAGTATTGCACACACCCTCAGTAAAAATCCTATTTACGGATTGGGCCAGTTAGTTTATGTACTCAAACCGTCATCATCAAGCCTTACTTCAAATTCACGTAAAATCAAAGCTGATTGGTGTGGTCCTTTGGTTGTGCATCAAATTCTTGATCGAACCCATTACGTTCTCTCTACGTTGGATGGTAAGGTCCTACAGGACGTCTATTCGATTAATCGGTTAAAACCATGTTTTGTTAGGTCTCCTAATTTTGAGACAAAAATTACCCACATTGATCAACTTCAGAAAGAGTTAGGTAATATTCCTAACAATGACAATCTTACTGTTTTAACTGAAACTAATCAATGTTTCATTACGGATGAATGTGATGTTATCTTACCTAGATTTGATGAGAGTGATATTGTTTCTAATAGGTCTACAAATCCTATTAATATTTGTCATTATCTTCCAAATAGTACAAATAATCATAATATTGCTTATGTAGATAAGTTATCACACTATCAGTTATCAGAACAATGTAAGATGTTACAGGAAATGTCTAATGTGTCTTCTATGGAACTGCATAAAGCTAGGTTCAAATGTGGTTCATTGCAAGTTTTGATAACTACCTCTAATGTCAAGAAAGGTCAAACTTCTTCCTGGATACCAGTTAACTCATCTCCTGTTTTGTTTAATGTAGCCAATGGACTTATCAATGATAATAAACTACAAGTAACTGGTAGCCTAAGCAAATATCAAACCTTGTTATAATAATTATTGTTTTACATTCATTTGAGGATTATAACATAAGTGTTATTCTAACATCTCTGAATCGTGTTTATTCATAGACCCACCTGTATCGCATATTTTAGAGCAATCTTTTCTTGGTAATATATACTACATGCTTTTGGGGGTTTTGGAGCACTTGAATAAACCTATTCTGATTTGTTTACTCATTTTTTTTGATGTCTTTGATTTGTTCAAAGTTTCATGCCTTGTAATATATGTTACACATTAGTATTTTTAAGCACTTATACAAACATAGATGATATGTATTGTCAAACTATTTTTTCCAAAAACTGTGTTTTTGACTTAGGAGGGAGGGATGTTATATAGTGATAAGTCTAGTTACATAAGTAGTTAATTGTGGTCTGAATCTTAGTTAAGCTTGAAAGAGTTACCTCCCTTTAACTGTCTTTGCCTTTGATTTATAAAAAGAATTATTGATGTTTCTACTTTGTATGAGTGATCTGCCCTTGGGGGAAGAGAATAAACATGTGGATCATTGAATGGTGTTTTCTTTATTGAGAGTTAAAGATTGAGAAATAGTGACACCCCCAGTGGGATTAAACCCACATAACAATAACATACACATTAAGTTTGCAAGGCTTCTTTTGGAAGATATACATGTAGATTGTATGTGTATAATAAAACACTCCAAACTATTCATTATAATGTGGTTTCTCGTACACCGGTGTCGTTTCCAAGCATTATTTATAGTTACTGTCCTTGATCACTTATGGCCGATTTAATTATTTATAATGTGGTTTCTGTACACTGATGTCTTAATTTCCCAAGAATTATTTTCCGAGTCATTGTCCTTGATCACTTATGGACGCTTCAGTGGCTAAAGTTGCCACCCAATCGCCTTGAAATCTATCGACGGTGTCTATGGTCATGAGGCGAGTCCTATTAATTTGCACAGATTTTTAGTTTGGTTCTTCAGAGTTTTTGTATGTCGATGATCACATTGAAAACAAATTGTGAAAATTCTAACAACTATAAATTGACTTAGCATTTATTGACAGTATTTCTTTCATGAAACAACGAAGACTATTGGTTTTAATCAATAGTTTTCTGACAATAGTTAGATGATTCGAATCCTTTTCCCTTTGATAACTTAAAAAAGCATTAGATGCACAGCTCATAGAAAATACAAAATTACAGTGTATAATCAATTTGGGGTTCTTTATGTTTTTTAAAATGTATTCTATTGTTCATTTTTATGTGTTATTATTTTTTATTATATCTTCAGCAAGTTATCGATGTATAACAAATACTTGGACACTACATGTATATTATAATACACTTGAAATAACTTAAATTGAAACATAATTATGACTTTATACTTTAAATCTTTAGGAATTGGTTGGAAAGAAACAATTTGAAGAAATTGAATTAACTTCAATGAAACCTGAAGCTGTTGTTGATGAAATCTTTTCTTCCATCATACGAGAAATCCGGGATGAGGTGAACATTCCAGAATCCAGTCTTTCGAAGCCTAAAATGATTGGTATAGCCCGTAATACAACTAGCGCTCGTAGACCAAGTATAGAATTCTATGTTCAGTAAGCCCAGAGATATTTATTTTCTTTTTATGCTTGGAAATGACATTTGTTTTTAAAATTTGTAAGACCATTTCTACAAAATACAGGACGTACCTGAACAAGTAAATAAGAGAAATAACCTATACCTGTCGAATTCAGGTATTTAAACATGCATTATGCAAGAGCAAAATCTGCTTATTACAAGTCTTTCTTTAGGCCTGAAATGTTATCTAAATTATCAATTAGACATTAATTAACTTATCCAGACCATAATAAACTCTCGATGTCAAGGCTAGCCTTCGATGTTGGCTGGATTAGATTCCTATATGCCGCTAACGGCAAATTACCTTTACACTATGTAATTTTTAACTATTATAGCGAGAACTGCCATCTCGTTATCTTATCTCCCATAATGTATCTTTAATGCATGGCTTATTTAAACAAGCATTATGCAAGTGCTAAATCTCCCTATTGCAGATCTTTCTTTATGCCTTAAATGTAATATAAATTATTAATTAGATATTAATTAACTTACCAAGACCATAATCAACCCTCGATACCATTGAATACTCTAGATTTTTAACAGATTTCAATATGATTTGCGGTTGATGATTTAACGTAAAAATGGATAATTGAAACTTTGTTTATTATCGTAGCAATGACAATCAAGGCTACACTGTTATTGTACCCGCGATAACTAGGCTCACAGTGAAGTAATTTGACTAACATTTTCAACATAACTCAAGTATTTAATTCTTAAAATATGGGGATGGGGGGGGGGTGGATGGCCGAATGGTTAGCGCGTGCTGACTGTATCACAAGGTCTGTCATTGAGTCAACTAGCTTGATTTTGATTCCCCGGTTATACGTGACAAGGAGTAGGGTCGCCTGTTCAACCACGTTGGTTTTCCCGGGGTCCTCCGGTTTCTTCCCACCGCTAAAGACCCTTAACGCAAGCAAATTATTGAAACAATATTGAACCATATGTTCGTCCGAAATGACCTAGTTTGTGTGGAGTGGATGTTAACCCCATTTCTCTCCCTCTCTCTCTTTCTCTCCCTTTTAAAATATAATGTAATTAGTTTTGCAAAGTTTATCCTAACCTGTACATAAAGTGATAGAAAGTGTCGGATGTAAGTGTAAATTCCAATAACGACTATTTCAGATGCAGCAAATCCTCATCAGAAATCTTTTCCCTTTATAAACAAGGTAATCAAGCAGAAGCCGATGAATCGACAAATATCAGATTTGTACCCTTGAACAGAGTTGTAAAATTGGAAGAAAATGAAGTTGAATTTTGGAATGAATTGGCCCCATCTGCTAAAGGTTGTCTGATTTTATACAGGATTGCCACTGGCTTGTATGATGAACAAAACATAAGATGAGTAGCCATCGTAAAGTGTCATGGAGAGATATTTTAGATACAAATGCTTAGAGAAGAAGAACAAAGATTACATAGGGATCAACATTTCTGCATTACAAGCTGAAATCATGCTCTATTGTATCTATTTTTCTCACTTATTTTAACGTGATATATGATATATGTACATGGGTTTGATTACTACACTGCTTTGATTTGGGTCAAAAACATATTGTCGATTTGATTGAATTCCTCACATCGTAAAAATGTCACATCTATCGATTAAGCCAATGTTGAGATATATAACCGATTCTGTGTTCCACTAATGTTAAACATATTTTATAGTTCCCCGCCTTTCGAAGAAAGCAGGGGACTATTATAATGGGTTCATCCGTCTGTCTGTCTGTCACATTTTTGGGGACGAAATAACCCTCCTTCTAATTGAGCTAGAGTGTTTAAACTTGGTGTAGGTGTTTATTAGGTCAGTGCCTTGATGAGTTCGAAGATGAGCATTTTCTGCTTAGGGTAAGCAGAGATAAACAATTTGATTGGTTGATGCTTTGAGACGTGATAACTTTAGTTCTAATTAAGTGAGGGTGATAAACTTGGTGTATAGTTTCCTTACACCAATACCTTGACTAAGTTCCATAATGAGCATTTTCTGCTCAGGGTAAGCAGAGCGATAAGCAATTTGATTGGTTGAAACTTTGGAACACAATAACTCTCTTTCTAATTGAGCTAGAATGTTCAAACTTGGTGTAGGCGTTTATTAGATCAATGCCTTGATTGAGTTCGAAGATGAGCATTTTCAACTTAGGGTAAGCAGAGATAAGCAATTTGATTGGTTGATGCTTTCGGACATGATAACTTTAGTTCTATTTAAGTAAGAGTGGTGAAATTTGGTGTGTAGTTTTATTATATCAGTACCTTGACTAAGTTAGATAATGAGCCTTTTTTGCTCATGGTAAACAGAGAGATAAGCAATTTGATTGGTCTAAACTTAAGAACACAATAACTCTCATTCTAATTGAGCTAGAATGTTCACACTTGGCGTAGGTGTTTATTAGGGGAATGCTTAGGGAAGATGAGAAGCAGAGATAAGCAATTTGATTGGTTGATGCTTTGGGACACGATAACTTTAGTTCTGATAAAGTGAGAGTTCGGACACATGGTGTATAGTTTTATCACATCAATACCATGACTAAGTTCGATAATGAGCATTTTCTGCTCTGGGTAACATCTCTGCTTTTTTAATTGAGGTAGAGTGTTTAAACTTGATGGAGATGTTCATTAGGTGGATATCTTGACTGAGTTCAGTGATTAACATTTCGACCTAAAGCTAAGCAGAGCTAAGCAGAGCTAAGCAATTTCATTGGTCGATGCTTTGGGACAAGATAACTTTGATTCTATCTGATAGAGAGTGGTAAAGTATAGTTGATAATCAGTTTGATTGCTTGATACTTTTGAAAAAATAAATGTGTGATTAATTAAAATGTGTCATCTATTTATTTTGGGATTTCGGCGGGGGACAACAGCCTCACTGTTGGCTTGTTTTTCATTAAATGACAATAGGATGAGACATAAGGTTTGCAACTTAAAACGTCTTAAGAGCAAGTCTAATATTAAACTAAAATTAGTTATGAACGCCATCTTATATGCTTTATTTTGACGTGAGGTTTGACGTGAGGCTGGTCCGATCTTTAGATTCGTTCATTACTTCTGAGAACTATTTTTGTCAGATAATGGCTAGTTACAATCAGCCGTTTTCTTACCAGTGAAACAATAACTTATTACATTATGCTAAATTTTGAGAATGGAAAAAGCGTAGCAGTGGTAGACATCTATCAGACAACAGATTAGAATTTGTCCACAGATTATTTTTCGCCAACAACCCGATTTAGCATTGGGCAAGAATATCAGCGCACAGCATAAGATTCCTTAATCCGCAAAATTGCATCGGCCGTGTTATCCCCATAATAGTGTGCAGGGTTGCCTTATGCAAATATATACGCATGATCAAAGCATATATTTCATGATAATCTATCAAACAGAAAACATGCAGCCTACTATACATTGCTTATGATTAAAAATAACTGACAAGTATGGTTAACAACTTGTCTCTATACATGTATTTTTGGAAAAGGTGTAGAAACATTGTTTATTTTATAAATTAGTTTATCTATTTTTCATAGAGAGAATATATTTTTTCTATTAACTTCAATTTTATGAAGTTGGGTATAAATTATTTATAAAAATAGATTTTGCCTAATTGTTTTTTATTCAGTTATACCCACTGACTCCGCACATTATCTTTTAAAATGTAACCAAACAAGTCAACGTTAATAAAAACCATCTTATTGAAAACAAAGATAAAAGTAGTAACGATACGCAAGGATGACTTGATCACAGCAACACCTTGTGATGTTCAACTAGTTAAAAGAAGACGGGACGATTTGCCTAATTCGTGCTCCGTAGACCTATATCTATGCAAATGCAAGAAATATAGGGTTTGTATATTCGCGGGATTTCTTCTGTAGACCCCGCTTCCCCCGCTTTTATTTTGGGATAATTGAAGCAGAAGGAGGAACTTCGTATTAGTCATTCTTATGACCGATCAGTGAACATCTGTAGACAGAACCATTAGAAAAAATACAGAAACAATAACCCGGGGGGTTTCCGGGATGGTTTCACCTCGCTAGTGGTGCCAGAAGACGCGGGGCCTGGCACGGATCAATGTCTATTCGTTCGGGTGTTACGAAAAACCGAGATCCCGTGTATACGTTGGTGCGCCCGTAAAAGATCCCTTGACAGTTGGAATTCAATTGCTGCCAAGGCAAAATTTCGCGAATTTGCACACTGTACGGCGAAAGCGTGTCTTTATTACTCCGCTTGTGCAGAAAAGTACCCCATTTTCATTCAATCGTTATATACCAACACAGAGCTATGTACAGTCCTATTCAAAAGACGTAATTATTTAGTACAGTGATTGTATAACACTCAAATTCTAAAGAAAGCGGCTGACTTGCTAAGTCTCTAACTCAATATCATCCAAAACCTACGGCAATAAAAACACGAATTATTTGTCAATTTTAATCAACATTGGTGTTGTGATCTTACCGGGAAAAGATGGGCCTCTCATATTCAATATTTATGACAAAATAAACATTTCAGCGCAATTTGTAACAAGCGACTCGGAAGAACGAGGTTAGACATAATTATTCCAGAAGTCGTGTCAAACGGTGACCCCATATTCTTATCTGGAGAGCATGTGCAATAAAGACTATCAGTGTAGACTGGAATATCCAGGCGCTCAATTCGATTGAGAATTCTGGCGTATTTCGCCGGACATAATTGCTTTGAAATTAGAGTAAAAACGGAAACGACTGAATGTAAATCAGTTTATTTACATTCATGTTACATTATTATATACGTTGCGACCATTTGTGTCAATTTGTAGGTCCCAAATATTAGCGATTTAGCTACTTTAAGAGAAAAGAAACATGCGTAAGTTAAAAGTAAAATGAATATCTCGGAGTCTTTTACATTCACGAAAACTATGGTAACCGTAAGAATGACGAAAGAATGTATATCAGAACAGCTTTAGACATTTTAGAGAGGTGTGTGAAGAAGCTAAGAAAGAAAATCACTAAAGTTTTTAGAAATACAACCCCCGCTAGGCTGTGAAGTGATTCATTATTCAAAGGAAATAACGCGCCACAGATGGACATTTTATTATATAATTTTGCAGACATGAAATAGTTGGAAAACAACGTACACAATAATAATTACAGCCCTTTCGTACAGAAAATTATTCATACCAAACCCAAAGAACTATTTCAGAAGAAAACCCTATTATGCTCTATACACTGATCCCTGGATTGAGAGACCCCCAGTTGCGAGCAAGCGCGTACGGGCTCGATGAATGTAAGGGGGGCAGAACCTGAATTGCCCCTCAAAAATAATTGCGGGTTACAGATGGTGGTGCGGGTCGTCTGCCAGAGGCGAAGGCGCAGAGCGTACCATGTAGGAACCCCCCCCCCCCACCCCCTTAAAGATAATTTGAAAAATTTGACGGTCGCAGACACGTTTTCCTGGGGCGAATCGTGATAGTGGGAACCTAGCATTAAGACGGTTGTGTTAAAACGTCTTCTATTTCTATGTAACACCTCACTGGTTTGCGCAAATAAAATTAATTGTCAGACAGTTTATGCCCCTATTTAAAAATATAACAGATATTTGAGTAATGTCCTTGTTGAATAAGTATGCCAATAATAATATATAATATAAAGAAGACGATGAGTGAATGTGTATAACATCTGCGATAAATAAATTCATTATTTATACATTTGGAGCATGACGTAATTTTTTAATAACCAGAAGTCTTTATGAAGGGTGTTTCACGTTTCGCCGGTGTCCTTTTATCAAGATAAATCTAGAAATATCAGATAAATCTATACATAAATAATGATCCCGTGATGCATAGGCGTACGAGCTCGATGAATGTTTGAAAATTTAACCCTGTGTTCCTTATCTATCAAAAAATGCACTTAGCACTATCAGTTATGCCCAGTTCAAACAACAAGCGGTTTTCATGAAAAATACGCCCATATTTTCCAAGAAATGTATGGGGAAGACGTAAAATCAATAGGGCTCATCCTCTCATTCGAGATCTTTTGATTTAAAACATATTTGTTAAGTTTCATCAGAATGGGACAACAATTGACGCCCCTCTGGACGTCTTAAAAATTCATACATATTCCACATCTCTTGCGTAAAAAGCAGGGGCTATAGCTCTGAAATGTGAGGTCTGCTGCGTACCAACTTTTGATCCGTAACTCAGTTTAAGTTTCATCTCATGAATCGGACAAAAATGGTAGCCCCAGGAAGGTCCACAAACTTCATTCATATTTCACATTTTGATTAAAAGGCAGGGGGCCAATACGCACCAAAATTGAACTCATCCAAGAGTTAGTGATACTCGTGTTAAGTTCATAAACGGATAAAACATCTGACCTCTAGATGATCCACAACCTTGGATTGTCATGGCCATTTGACTGAAAGTTTCGGTCCGATTTTCAGGGAATTCATAATTATGATGTAACAGTGATAGATTTGAACAGTTTTGGAAATAAGATAAAAAAATAAAAAAATGGTGACCACAAGCTAAAAATGTCTAGATCTTTCGGTGGCCCTTATAACGTCCTACTTTTCTGCACCGTAAGATGGTGTGCAATATAAGAAATTCTGCGCGGGCAGCGGCGCTAGGCTTCTTTTATATTAAATTCCAAGTGTCCCATCCGAACGAGTAAACACTGTCTTTGTCACTGTTAGGTGTTACTCGACCAACGCCGGGATCGAAACACTGCACACTGGTTAGCGAGCCAGTGCTTTACGCACTGAGCGACCTTGACTCTTTTGGACATAGAGCACTAGACTTTGGTTCTCAAAATCTCCCAGCCTTTGAAGATTTGGAAAAATAACAAAAACAGGGCCTTAACATTGAGACAAAGAGCAGGTTACTCCGGTTTCTTTCTACTTCCCGATAGCCACTTAAATTATCTAAATAAAAACGAACAATTCGATGTGCCGTTAATGTCACAATTTTCTCTATCTCTCAATACTATAAATACATTGTATATCTAATCATGTATTGCGGTTCCAGAGGTTGAAATACATAGTTATCTCCCATTGATTACTGCTCGTTTTTCAACGATAAACATAATATTCTATCTATTCAATTCACTTTTTAATTTCATGCAGTGATCACATAAACTCTTGTCGAAACAGATAGATAGATATAACCCCCTGTTATATATATAGATATCGATTGATGACACACTGAAGACGTTTTTTTTTTCTCTCGCGGGCTACAATATACAGACACATTGTTGAAACAGATAGGGTCCCTGAAGCGTTTTGCATTACAAACGTTATAAGTGAAGGTCGAAAATATTTTTCGGATCGCATCTGAAGGAATAAATGAATATATTAAAAATACCTGGACCTTGAGAATATACTGTCCTTATTCCTTGCTATGAGACGTATTTATCGACATCCGGTAATCTATATCCAGTGGGTAAACTCGCCCATTGCATATTAACTACTTTTAAAATATAGCAACGAGAAAATATAATAGCAAATAAAGAAAAATTAAACAAAAGGATTTCTTAATATAGTCCTATATATCTATACAAAAAGGTCATTTGCTATTAAAGATTTAGGTTATGAGTATCATCAGCTCGGTAAGAGGGGGACTATACAAATTTATTATGAAGAATTTAAATCAATGTGATTTCAATTCAATTTCTAAACACTATAACAAACACTACATGTTAAATAAATCCATCACTAGTATAGTTAATATTTAGTTATGAATAACTTATGTTCGTGTTTTGTTTTATATATACGAGACCGATTTTGCACATTTAACATGACTTAAAATAATAAAAACATTTCATGTAATTGATTTTTCTGGTACATTCATTGAATGTTGCCGAATGAAGATAAAATAATATCAAATATTTACCAATCTGATTAAAATAGTTCTATATTTAGTTTCGTTTTTTATACTTTCAATTGCCTACACTAGTGTAGTAAAGACAAGTAAAATAAAATTTGAACTATAAAAAACGTAAAGAAATAGGATCTGTGTTTTAATCAGATTGAATATTTACCATACATCCATTATAATTGACCTCATCACGGACCTTATAATATAATACATTTATATTCCTTAAAGGAACCAAATCGCTAATTTGACACAAATGGGTCGCAACGTATATTAGTGTAATATGAAGGTATATAAACTGTTTACATCAAAAAAAGAGAGAAATGGGGTTTAACGTCCACTCGACACAAACTAGGTCATTTCGGGACTATCGTATGGTTTAATTTTATTTCAATAATTTGCTTGCGCATAAAACTAGGGGTCTTTAGCAGTGGGAGGAAACCCGAGGACCCGGAGAAAACCCACGGGGTTAGGCGACCCTACTCCTTGTCACGTACAACCGGGGATTCGAAACCACGCCAGTCGACTCAATGACAGACTTTATGATACAGCGCGCGCACGCTAACCATTCAGCCATCCAACCCCCCCCCCCCCCGTTTACATCAAATCGTTTCTGCTTTTACTGTAATTTCTAATCAGTCATATGTTCGACTAAATGCGTCAGAAGTCTCAATAATTGAATGGCAATTCCTAGCATCTGGTGCAGTCTACACCGAAGGATTTATTGCGCATGCTCTCCAGATAAGAATGTGGCGTCACCGTGTGACATAACTTGTGGAACATGTCTAGCCTCGTTCTTCGAGTCCCTTTGTTACATATGGCGCTGGAACGCATTATGGTACACGATTCGTGTACCAATGGTAAACTTTATTTTGTCTTAATTTCATAATTAGAGATAATTAGAAGCCCGTCTTTTCCCGGTAAGATCACAACATCAATATTGATTTAAATCGACAAATAATTCGTGTTTTCATATATTCGTGTTGGATGATATTGAGTTAGAGATAGCTTCTCCAAATTATTCAAATTGATAGGCTAAATTTTTGTATCCTGGCTGAATATGTTCAAAGTTTCTTTAGATTCAACTCATTTGTTTCTCAGTTTATAACTAAAAATAATACTTAGTATTTACAATGCAATTAACAATCAATCCTTTATTTCCGTCCCTTCTTTTATTTTGTACTTTGGTTTATTTGTGCAGTGTCAATTAAATTACATTTTAAATAAAATATTAAACAGCATCCATCTGAGTTGCACCTTTAAACTATATTTGAATTGTTTTCTTTATGTTAATGAATGGAACATATGTTTTATGGGTTTGACCAAATATCCAGCTTGGTCCACTAAAGCGAGGCACTAATATACGGTCTGTTATAATAATCATGTCGGGGTTTCAAAGGAAAGTTTATTTCAATATACCATAACCGCCCGCCCGATATACCACAACTATAATTCAATAAGCGCCACCAAACGGAATAGGTCACGCACAATATGTGCGCGCAGTTATATATTGACAGTTGTTAACGAGGCAACGTGAACAAGCCAATGCGCAACTAAAAGGTATGTATGCTTAATTAATAATGATAATTGACTATCTAGACATTACATTTGAAGAATTTAAAGTTCCATTTTATGTCATTAATGATTTCATTGCCTGTTATTAACCATATCAGCATCCGCAATCAGTGTAAACTGCCGAAACCGCTTGAAGTAAACACACTACTTTGTTAGAAATTGACATGGCCCGCGCGTGAGCTCTACTGTACAGTGCATTATGTCTATTAGAGTTTACACATTAAATAGAAAACTATAGTAATAATTTGGAAGTAGATATTGCTGCAGTAACTATTGATCTTGTGAGTTGCATAAAGAATACATATTGCGTTTTGTGGAGCAATGCTTTTACGAAATCTACCAACTTTATCGTGAGGTATTCTGCATGGTTTATTTTAAAAACTTCATTCCAAACAAGCCAGTGCATGCTCGTAGTAGTGTACTTAATATTTTGTATGCAGATAAAGATATGTCAACAAACCGTAATAGTATAGCTTGTGACAAGATTTATTATAATTTTATTGTGGCCTTTTCAGAAGGTACTGGTACAGTGTTTATGTTTTGAACTCTTATAAAATATTACCAGCAATGGGTGGAGTTGTTTGTACAAGCATAAGTGCAGTACCCGTGCATCATAAAGAAATTAATTAGTAAGAGCAGGAAACAGTTTTTCCTGTTTCAAGGATATTTCCTGGGATATATATATATATTATATATATATATACCACAGCAATAAGCTTAAAATATTTATCATTTATATTTAAATCTATGGATTTATTATTGGAATCGCCCATGGTTTTAAAGAGATTACGAGCCGTAGTGACTCAATTAGTAGGAGGCTTACTTGCTAACCAGACGGTCTCGGGTTTGATCCCGGTGTTGGTCGAGAAAGATCCTCAGGTTTTTCAGGTGCAGTTTCTCCTTTGTCAGTTGTGCTCGATGCAGGGCCTGACAAGGAACAGTGTCTAGTAGGTTGGATGGGACAAAAAACTGAGGTCCCATTTACACATTGGCGTGCACTTAAAAGAACCCATAACAGTTGAATTCAATACAAGTTTATTCCATAGTGCCGTTGTCTGAGCAAAATTTACCTCAGTGCACACTGTATGGCATATGCCTGATTGCATCAGCCCAGTTCTTGTAGAAGAGTAGGACATTAAACCCTATTTCATTTAATTTAAAAAGATTTTGCCAGATATTACAGATGTGTATTGACCATGGAGACGGAAGCTGACAGTTACATTTAGTAGCTTCGAAACATGGCATTTGTAGAATTTTTATCCTTATTCTGATCCAATCCCTAAGAGTAATTTGTCGAGACGCGGTAGTCACAATGTCTGTTACTATTTGAAAAGTGTAAATTTTACCTTGATTATCGAAGCTATAAGCATATATATTTTCAATGGTGATTCTGTAATTGGATAAAATCTTTCGCAAATAACTTTTCAGTTAGGTGTTATTTTGAAACTAAATTTACAGGATAAGCAATTATACACAATATTATTTTCACTGTACTGTAGAGTCTTTCCAATTTAAAAAAAATAGTGTGTTTCACTGTATATTATAAAACATGTTTGATAAAATGACACAATATATATTGAAACTTATTCAGTAATGTAGACTACAAAAAGTTCTATACTATAGAAAAACAATCTATTGCTGAATTATACCACTGTATTATGATTGTAATAAATTATAGAGTGGGTGCCTGTAGTTTTATTATCAACAAATCCTGGTCATTTATACTAAGAGTTAAATAGTGATTTAGTTAGGCTTCAAGTCAGGAGTTGTGTGTAACATGGTTTTACAATATGTTTTATCGGCTTGTCCTGTTGGCTCTTGGTCACATGTAACAAAATAATTGAATTCATTATTTTTGTCAGACCAATCTGTTGTTCTTCACTAGTGTTGAGTGTATTTTTGCTTCTGTTAAAGATACATTAGTTATGAGAAAAATAAAGAGTTGGTCATTCTTGCTATAATCATTCAAAAATAGATGATGAAAAAAGAAAATATTGAAAATTTCATTCAAATTACTTCATTCTCAGCCAAGTTATCATTGTTTGTAGTTTTGACAAGATGCGTGCACAGTGGTAACCAGCGCACTGGTATAATCGGGACTTGGCCTCGCTTTCCCACTTTCAAATTAACTTTTTAAATGCCGAACCATTTTAATCTAGTTAAAATCTCGAGTATCCGATGCCATCAAGAGTTGATTATGGTCTTGTTTTTTTAATAAATGTCTAATTAATAGTTTATATAACATTTCAGGCCTAAGCCTAAAGAAAGGCCTGCAATAGGCAGATTTAGCTCATGCATAGTGTATTTTAAAGTGTTAATTGTATACTGCTTGCTTCCAGTATATTTATTTAAAAATAAAACTGTTCTTGAAGTAAGGTTTTCTGTTTCCAAAATGAACAGTATATAAGTTATTTATACAGAGAAAAAATATGGTACATGCAGTAGTTTTCAATGCAAGTGGGGTTCATTTTTCATACATTTAGTATTTTCAAAGCATATTTTATGCAAATTTCCAGAACAAATAATCTATAAAACTATTTTTTCTTTTCCAGAAAAAAAGTGAAAGGAAATCAAGAATGTAGGCAGAAACATTATATAACACTTTATTAAGAACAATATTGTAAATAGTGTTGGAATGAAGTACATAGAAAAGAAATAATATAATATAGTATAATATTAAAATATGGATAGAGATTGGAATAGATCTATCAGTCCAGCTTCCTCCTTTACCTCAATACCAGGGTCGAGGAGTGACAGCCCTCGAGGAGCAAGTCCTGCTACATCTTCATTTGGTAGTGGTAGTGATTCAGCTAGCAGAGGGAAGGGGATCCAAATTACTATACAGAATCTACAGCGTAAGTATAAATATTATATTAAATCTGCTTTTATTGACAACAGGTAGTTTGACTCAACAAACAGTGAACATGAGAAGTAATTTACACCGATGTATAAATATCTGTGGGTATAAACATTGGAGTGTGTAAAAGAACCCATGACAATTGGAATTCAAAGAATAATATAGGCGGAAACGCCATTGTCTGGGCAAAATTCTTGAAAAGGACACATACCTGTTATATAAATAACAAAATTTTAGTATAATTATATTGGTCTCAAAATGGCCAAAGTATTGAGTTGATTAGACATTAAATCCCATTCCATTCCTGTAGCGGTACAACCTGAGATAAGCCTAACAAAAGGCATTCATGAATAAGTTTACAGTTCTGTAGACTTTGCTTCCTGAAAGTATTTATGTCATTAATCTATTTATATTATTACAGCAATTACATTACACATTCATTCTCCTTAAAACTATTTTTCATTTAAATTTTATAACCATATATTTTTTTTCTCCCAAAATGAAAAATATATTTTGGTAATTAATAGTATGTTGGGACATTTTTAATTTCACGATAAATGCATAATAAGCTTATATTACATCATATAGTAACTATATATGAGCATTGTGGTGGTAGTCAGATTTACAGAGAATTGATAAAAAGGGAGACAAATCATTATGAACTTGCATCTTATTTACATGTACCATACATATACATTCTTGCCGGTTGGAGCTGACGTGCCATAAAACAACATTTCTTTTCATTTCATTTATACATTCTTGCTGATGGAAATAATATCAGCTTCAGATTTGGGTGAACAGGTACCTGGAATTTATTAGTCATGAAACCTAATTTCATATAAGCTGTAAATTACAAGGGGTGCTTTTGAAGAATATTGCAAACAAACTTTTTTACAAATGAATGTTTATTAAAAATCACTTTTTCAATTTGACTACTTCTTTAGTACTATCTTTATATTTTTCTGAACACATACCTAAAAAGTATTCTCAGATTGCAAATTTGTTTGAATGTAGTTTACTAGTGTGCGATATATCAAGGCCTATAATTTATATGTAGATAACATCGGATTATATTACATTGCTAAGTTATTGATAATTTATTGGTTGAGATGAAGACTTTAAATACACACATATATACATGTATCCAATGTCCTGAATCGAAATATTTTTTATTGAATGATCTAGTGGATTAAATCTAGGCATGTGGTGTTTAGGTTTACTGACATTAATCTTTGTAAATCCTACCATAGAGTGTACTAGAAGCCAATAGTGTTATGTAGATCTACATGATATACAGTTAGTATAGTTTAAAGTAATCAGTAATCTTTAGATCCTGTTAAAACTTGATGAGAATTTGGAGGGAATCTCGATCAAACTTTAGATATCTGCCAATAATATAAATTACACATTACAAATGATAATTGATGAAAGCCTACTTATTCTTTTTTGATTTATAAATCATGTTAGAATTGATAACTAATTATAAGAACATAAGACTTATGTCTTTTGCATTGCCAGAGTGATATAAATAGCTTTCAAAACCAATAACATGCCAGCCCAGGAAGGGAATACAACTTGAAATCTGTGTGGAGATTTTGAAATATCAGTATTTTTTGTAATTTCGCATAATGTTAATTCATTATTTTATCAACTATCTACATATTTACAATGCCGGTATTAGATCTCTAGATTTGTGGAGCATAAGGAAGTAATCTGTTGCATTGCCACACCCATACAGTTAGCTCTTGAATAACATTATCATACAGCTCTGATATCAACTACATTATAAAATATGCGTCATCATATTAACCAAATGCAAAACTGTAGATTTTAATCTTCATAATTCGTATCCAAGAATATAATAGATTTTTATACACTCACGTGGAAATGTGGTCTAAGATTGCCGTCACCGTTGTCCACAGTTTCTTGTGAACACTCTACAGACTACATTTATCATCGGATTGTTTTGAAATTGATATATGTTGTTAACATTAGTGAGATGAAGAATCTTATTTAATTTCAATAATTTCGGTTAATTTCCTCTGGAGTTATGGCCCTTGTTTCACTTTGTTGTACCTTGTGACAAAAGTTATCATCCGATCTGTATGAAATTTATATGTATATGCGTCATTTAAAGAAGTGAAACAAAGAAGCCTGTTGAATTTTAGCAATTTCCGTTAATTACGTCTTAGAGTTATGGTCATTGTTTCACTTTGCTGAACTTGTGAACATTCGAATAACAATTATCATATGATCCGTACGAAATTTATATGCATCATATACGATCTCGTTATGGCAAATTTTGTTGATCAAATCGGTCGGTCGTGATTCTTTCTCTTGCCTCGGAATCAACCACCATTTTGACGGAAGATATTCTCTCGACTAAGAAATCTTCTTTTTCTCTCAGCTACGAGAGATACGTAGAATCAAACCGGTCCAGAGCCGATCGTGTTGATAAGAATCTGCTTATTTGACATTGACATATAACCGAAGGTGAATAGGCCTACTCGTCCAGTTAACACAACGGACGATCTCACATCGGTCAACATAAGAGAGACACATATTTGTCGCCTCCAACTTCCGATTTCCAAGGCATTATTGTCTAAACCTTGACTCTCATACCAATAAACCATTTGGTACTCGTGCGCGCGCTGTATCATAAAGTCTGTCATTGAGTCGACTGGGGTGGTTTCGAATCCCCAGTTGTACGTGGCAAGGAGTAGGGACGCCTGTCCAACCTCGTGGGTTTTCTCCGGGTCCTCCGGTTTCCTGACACTGCTAAAGACCCCTATGCGCAAGCGAATTATGTAAATAAAATTAAACCATATGTTAGTCCCGAAATGACCTAGTTTGTGTCGAGTGGACGTTAAACCCCATTTCTCTCTCTCTCTCCATTTGGTACTATTTCGTACCTATTTTATATTAAACCCCATTGGGCGCCATGTTGAATCACACAGTATTTAACGTTCTAAAACCTAACTACTTCATGGAATCAACGACAAATCTAAACTTGGGCACTCCAACCATTTTTATTTTTGTATCACAATGCTCTACCCCTGAGTGTTCCAACTTTGGATTTATATTTAGCCTTATACCCCTCTCACGGGTGTTACATCAACACCCTTGTCTATATATTATCCCTTCATTGTTATGACAAGTAACAATGTAACAAACCAACCCAAGGCACCCTAGTTAGCAAAATTATGGACACTAGCACTTCAATCTAAACGATTAGTACAACCCCGGTAAGCGAGCTAGTGACCCCGCCAACAAATTCGGCACCCCGCCAATTTGTCAAACCTCTGTACAACCCCGGTAAGCGAGCTACCGACCCCGGTAACAAATTCGCAAACCCCGTCAAGGGGCCAACCCCATAACCCTGCCAATTAGTAACCATAGAAACCCCACCGGGCTTTCGGAATAGTTTAAATAAAAACGCCCAACACGTGAGTCCAATCAGTCTGAAGAGTTCAATACGAACGAAACTAGTCACTGACATTCGGGATAACCAAGTCTTCATAGCCACCTTATCTCTTACATCATTTAAATTAGTGAAACAAAGAATCATTTGTTGAATTTTGGCAATTTCCGTCAATTACTTCTAAATTTATGGTCCTTGTTTTACTTTGTGAACTTGTGAACATTCGAATGACAAAAGTTAGCACTCAATCTGTATGAAATTTATATTCATTATTTGAATTAGTAAAACAAAAAAAGCTTGTCAATTTCAACACTTTCTGTAAATTACTTCCAGAGTTAAGGCCCTTCTTTCAGTTTGTACAAGGCCACCAATTATCTGCACAAGAATAAATATGCGACAACGTATGTTTCGTTGCCTGGCATCCTATCTTAAAAATTATATACCAGTAGGTAATTGTCCTTTGCCTTTCAGGGAAAGCAGGGGGTTGTTAAAATGGGCTCATTTGTATGTCTGTCCTTCAATCACACTTTTTGGGACACAATAACTAGTGCTTTTAATTGAGCTAGAATGTCCAAAATTTAACGAACATTTTCTGCTTGAGCCTTAGCAGAGAAAGGCTACATTGTTTGACAATTTGTGTATGCCTGGACTGAATTCTATCATGAGCACTCTCTGTTTACGCTAAGCAGAGATAAGCAATTTCATTGTTCAAGACTTTGGAACACAATAACTCTACATCTAATTGAAGTAGAATGTTAAAACTTATTGAATGTCTGTACTGAGTTCATCGTGATTTTTTTCTACTTTATCTTAGCAGCCTGTCAAACAAATCTTTTGGAACACAATAAATGAGACAGTGTCATCTATTTCGGAATCGAAGTTGGGGAAATCCATGTTTTCATCTTAATTTGGCCGACAGTTGGGACAGGAAATCTACAGTTATAGGCAGGTTGTTCAGGGGCATGTCCAGGAATTTGAGCAGCAGGGGGTCCAAGGTGGAGAAAATGTCAAGTTTGTTGTTAGGTTGGGGGGGGGGGTAAACTACCCACAAATTTGATAAATTCAGAAACTTTGAGACAATATTTCTGCTCATTTAGGTGCATACATGTATAGGATTACAGTGGAGTTGCCAGTGAGCCATAACAGCATTATTTCCATCTGGCATGTGCCTTTTGTTGTTAAATCAAGTGTTAAGTATATAATACACATAGGTATTTCTGATATCTTGTATTCCCCAGAAATGTTGACTCCGAGATTCATTTATTATTGAATGTCATTTATTCAGAATTAATTTTTTTTTATTAAAATGGCACCCCCTCTTGGATTTCGGTCAAAAATGAAATTGTCAATTTCATTGGAATTTATTTGTTGGTTTGTTTTGAATAAGTAAAGAAACCCACTTACGCTTAATCTTTCAAAACAATAGTTTAATTTTGTACAGCTTGTACCATCACTAATGAAAATAACGATATCAGATCATTTCAATTCAGTAATTTATTTTTTCATAAATGTTTGTATAATTACAAAATGGATATGACACAGGTATTTTAAGTATCTTATTTTAAAAGAAAATGCAT